TTGGGTGACCTGGCTCGAGCACATTGACGCGCCTGTATCACCTCCGGTCAATTCAATCTTGATGCCCCTCAGCGACAAGAAATCGCAAACAATTAGCCTAGAACCATTCTTCTCCGAGATGTGAAGGCACATCGTCCACGGAATCATTGACGGCCATCCGGCTGGTGCAGCGCGAGGAGGTTGGAATCCGACTAATGACCTCGCTAGTCCGAGATGGCGCTGGACCGATGCGTCACGCTTCTCTAGTAATAGCTTCTGCTAAGACCCTTGAAACCTAAATACTATTGGGTCCCAATCCCGAGCACCGACCTCGAGCTAAGCATCAAAGAGCTCAGCGTGCTATTTTGTACTAAGCTGGTGCTGTATCCTTCCGCTGAGACAGGGCTAGACCCCTCGGGAGCACAGAATCTAAGCCAGAAGTCAAAGGCTTGTCAGTTAAGTATTACGTTGGCCACCTTTGCTAGACAATTATCAAATCCAGGGCCACCTGATGGTATGCTCGACCGACCACCGATAATGGGTGTACATCGCTCAGGACCGTGTTGGTTCAATTGACCGTCTGATCAAGACTTGTTGGATCATAACGGACTGGATGAAGTCCCATTGCACACGGCCCAGTTGTGTCACAGCCTCTTTTACCGTTTGATCAAGATACAGCTCTCATTCATTCGGCGGCAGTGTGGCGTGCAAAACGCAGAGGTTCTTTTCCGGACCAGCTAGCCCTCCTACGCAAAACTCATGGGCCTGGGTACCTGGAAGTCGGGGTTGAGCAACCGTGCCTTCTGGGAAATTCTGTCATGGCTGCTGCGGGGACGGACCAGCCGGGCAAGTATGGTCGAAGAACGGCAAAGTGATGTGGAGTCAGTATGATCGATGCAGAGGCTGGATGTCCTTTTCAAATCAGTTTTATCTCCTTTTCAAGGCGAATCAGGTGTGGATGCTCCCGATATTGTCGCACATCTCCATGTCCAAATTTAGGCGGTCGTGTCAATCCATGGCGTGAACCAGAGCGAATGGACCATTACTCCACTTGTAAACTGCCTTCAAAGTACTCCATATGGTCTATTGTCGTCTGCAGTTGGGCTTTCTTTGCTTCCACACTTAGCCTGTCCTTACTATACTCTTCTTCCCTCATCTATTGAGATCTAACAATGAAGTAGCGTTGCGGGCCACTCTGCAGCACACAGTCTTCAATTGGGGTTGTATTGTTTCGAGCCCGCGTGTACTCATCCCAATGCTCATCCCAGTGCTCTATAGAAGAGCTGAATAAATTCAACCTCTACGCCCATGCTGGCCAAACATTCGGATGCCTGGGAAGAATGATTGCACCATCATCACAACTGACTATTCGGTCATGGATGGGAGACCGACCACCTCGCCCGATTCATATATGGGTGAAACGCACAAGTTTAAGAGGCAATGAAGGGGGATCTTCAGCAACAGAAAGACCTCAAACAGTGGGAATGGACACGGCAGTGTGCAGACTGAAAAATATATGCAGATCCAAACCCCAAGCAGATAACCAATGCGATGCGAAGCAGAAGCGCTATTTGGGATTTCCGAGACGGGCTGAGGAGTCAATCACCCAAACGGACATATTGTCCTGGTTCCGGCTCGCTGGAATGACAGCAAGCGACTCCTGGCTCACAGATGTGGCATGAAGCACCTGCATCGATGGTCCTGTTCAGCATGAAGTTCACTCCCGTGGGGAGACTGTAGCCCTGGAGGAAGTTATAGTCGTGTTAGATGTCTGCGCATGCGAGAGCAAAGATACTGGTACACAGGTCAATAAGACCAGCAAGGAGACTTCTCCTCTAAATCGATAGATGCATTATCCTCTGATATCTACCATGCTTCATCATCTCACCCCGTTCCATCGAGCGTCATCCTGAACCAGATTCACGGTTACTCAGCACCAAGTCCTCAGGCGAGGCCCCTCCCATTGCGGATTAATGGAGCGCGGCAATACAGCTTCTGGGGTTGTTCAACCGAGAAGTGGCGCAGAAACCCTAACCTCAAGGTCTCAAACATTGCTCAAGCGAGGAAGTACCATCTCCCACGACGAACATCACGGCATCAATCCGTTCCTGCTGGTACAACATGTCGCTATCGAGATACCACAACAGCATCTATACAAGCCGGACTCACGGATTCCAGCAGCACATGCGTTACCGTACTCTGGAAAAATCGAGAAACAAACGTCATGAAACCAGAACACCCAGGTCTAAAGCATATATTTCAAAAGATATCGGAATTAACCACATTTCACTCACCCAGAGCCTACATCTTTCTTCTCTAAGTACAAGGGTTGGTATGATCTGTGCGGTGGTGAGGCCGCACATGCAAATCGGATCTGGATTCTGGGCCAGCAGCGCCTCAATATCAGTATTACAACAACATGTTCCTTCTCGGCCGTGCAGTTACCAAACCGCCTCGGAACAATTACTTGAATATCCAAATCGACTCACACGAGTTCTACAAAATCCGAAACGTCCCTGGCCGACCTGCACGTACACCTTTCCCCCGGGGATACAAATGGAACCAAGGGAAAGGCTTTCGAAGCAAACGAACTGGAAACCACATTCAACTCGACCAGATATTTCCCGAGATCTACAGGCAACAAGAGGGCATAGCGGAGAAAGGCCACAATATGAAGAGCGTGAGGAAACTGCAAAGCAAGGTTCTTCGGCGACGAATCTGCATTATCTTTCCAGCCATGTGGAATAAAGGTGCGAGGCTACCCTTAACGGTCAAGCAGTTAAGATATTAGAGTATTCAGAACGTTGGTCTGAACGCAAATCCAATTGAGCCATACCCAGACCCTTTTATCCCCTTTGTAAATCAAGTGTTTACGGCCATGGAGAATACAGGTATACCGACATCCAGAGCATTACACATTACATGATAGGGAACGACGGCCAACACTTATGGAAGTAGCCATGAGGGATCTAGATGACATCGGAAGCTACAATCTGCCGGTCCCTTCCACCAGCAGTGATCCATCGTCGGTGACTTTGGAGGGGAAGTCGTCTCGTGCTCAGGAGAGAACCATTGACGTTGGGATTGGGACTGAGGCAAATAAACTGACTATCTTCGTCGGAAGGATAAAGCAGCCCGCATAGGACACCCGGAAGGATGAAACGTATCAGATTGGTTATAAACTAAGCTTGGAGACATGATGCTATTCGTGATCAAAGAAAAACAAGAGAGAGAGAGAGAGAAGGAAGAGAGGGAGAGGTCTTAAAAGAGGAGGGTCAGTCATTGTTGGAAAGAGATGCTGATGCTCTTATCCGAGACAAAAACCAAAGTTACCAAGACCAATACCACCGAGAAATGCGCAAAAACCCTACGGAACAATACATCAAACCTCATCGCAACAACAATTTCATTCAGAAATCCGGTACTCTTTTGCGCCAAAAAGAAGCAAGAGCTGAGAAAAAATACTACTGTGGCGTCTGCGAAGCCTTCCTATTAAGGAAGGGCTTCAGCGCCACCTCCTCGCTCCTGCTGCCACAGTACTGACCCCAAAAGATCGGATATTGTTTTAAAAACCGCATCAAATCCAGACCAGCTTCAGGCATTTATCATCTTTCCAGAGCCGGCAGAGTCTTCGATAAAAACCCATCCGACTTCATTCGTCTACACTTGGAGGCGAGCAGATATTCGCTCCGACTCATCGAACCTCCTCGAAACCGAGCTGTTCAAATGCGAACGCATCTATCTATCGCCTGAGAGAATTCGGGTTCGCACTGCGATACTGATAGAGGTAGGCACCGAGTCAATTATACCCGCTGACATTTTCGATGTTGAGGGATACTCCTTCAATCCACCTCCACCCTAACCCAATGCTGCTGCTGCTATGGGTAGGGCGTGCGTGCAAGCCTTCGACGACAGAGAATGCGGAGATCGAGTCGACGCGGTCTTCCAGACATTCACTCCCCTTGGGGCGAGATTCCATTTACCTAGTGTCCTGATTCTAGTCAAACGCGGACGAGGCACAGTGTGTCAGATCCAACCCCCTACGTGCCCTGGAAAGGGTGTGGCAATTCGTGGACTAAGAACCATGTGGAATCTTCCGGGGAAATGGAGAAGTGAATCCTTAGGGGGGGGGACTATCGATATCGTTATATGGGTTGTGAAAGTCAAGTGGCTTTGATATGATATCGGAAATAACTTTCGAATTATGTTACTATTCCTCGAGTTCAGATCACAAAACATACATATCAATGGCATCCCTGGCGAAGGCACCAGCGAGCAATACTAGAGCCCTACTTCCATTCGCTACCCTCAAAAAATTCTGATAGAGGACGAAACAGCTGCAGCATTAATTGGTAGAACTAGAAATAAGTAAGAAGCACTGTCAAGCCCTTCGTAGTCGGGACGGGACCCCATCATGTCTTGTCTTTCCTCTCCCTCCTTTCGTCTAACCCAGTCCAGTCCAACGCGCAGTTCCACTCGCAAGACCCCTTGCAAATCCATATCCGTGTCCGTATTCATCCGTATCCATAATCCATAACCATATCCCATACTCATGTCAGTATCACAAGCCCTCAACGGATCGAATCCCATGTCTACCACTGGACTCAAAAGAAGAAAACTTAGACCGCGATTCAACAGAAAGAAAAAGGAGAAAACAAAGTTGTGGCGCACGAAGCCTCTATTTTCGAATCAAGTATCGTACCCAAGACCCCCACCGACGCTCACACCAACCAACTCGGGGATGATGTTGAAAAAAAAAGTCCCCTGTGCTTTTTTCCCCACTCATGACAGTCGAGTGCGTCGAATTCTGATTTGGAAACGTGCAGAGATGAACCCTCGCTTGTTGAATCGAAAATTTTTGGGGGGGAAATGCTTGATGTATGTACAGTAAAAAGAGGTAGTAGCTAGAATTCTAGCTGCTGTTTTCTATATTAAAAGGCGAATGCATTAGAATGGGGGGCAAGAATTTGTTAGTGCCAAGTTGTTGTCTGGTGAGACTGAGATGCTAGTCGATCTTCCGGTCACGCCTCTTGGGCCCAGCGACGCTCACGGAGGGGCATCTCTTCCTGAGCCTGGACCCGAGATCCGTCCGTCTCACGACGCCAGGCGTAGTATTCTCCGAGGCGGACCTCGGCGTAGGATGCGTAGTCAAAGTCGATCTGGGATATTTGGGCTTGGATGAGGGACCAGATTCCCCTGTAGACGTGCGATAAGTGGTCAGTGTTGATCGTGCAAGAATGCGACAAGTTTTGACTCAACGCCAGACATACCAGTATAGACCGGGGATTCCGCGGAATCGATCGACATCCTCGTAGAGGCGGTCGACGATTTCTGGCTGGAATGATTCGGGGATTCCCTTGTGGTAGCTGTAGCTCTTGACATATTCAGTCAAGAACTGGCGTCGGACGGGCCGCGTCGGCATCATGTTGTAGTCGCAGTCGTAGCCACCCCATTCAGCGAAGTGATTCGCGATATCGAAAGCAGCTGGGGAGGGGGTCGCGTATTCGTAGTCGATGAAGTTGATCGTGGCGGTTTCCTGATCTTTGGTGGTGACAGCGTGCCCGTTTTGCTTTTGCTCCGAGGGAAGGACAATGACGTTCGCACAGAGGAGATCGCAGTGGGAGAATACCAGCTGGTGGGGAAAAGCAATTAGAGATAGAACGACACATATCCGTGATCATGATTCTACGTACGCCGCCTTCACCAAGTCCCTTGCCATCATCCAGTTCACGCACGACCCGTTCAAGCTCCTTCTGCAGACTCAGTCTCCGCTGGCGCTGCTCCTCCGTTGCGGTGGGCAGAGCAAGGATCCATTTCTGGGTGACAGTCCAGATATTGGGTCCAGGCTGCCTGGTCTTCACCACGGACAAGCTACCTTCCTGCTTGGACTGTTGCTGATGGTCTTCTGAGTCGACGTCTACTTGTCGCGTGAGGGGTACGTTCTCGGATTCCTTCGAGGTTGCAGGAGTCCCACCGACGGGCAGGACGGCATGCCACTGCGCGAGGCGTCTAGCAACACCGCGCCAAACTGGAGGCGTCGCTAGATCCTCATGGGTAGCCGGCCGACCACGGAGGAAACGATACAGAAGGCCGTTCTTGAAGCGTGCCAAAAGCGGAGGAGCAAGGCCATAACTAGCGAGGAGCGCGTGGGAGCTCGTTTCTCCTATAGATCCGAAATTCTACTCAGCAAAGGTGTCGCAATGGGCAAGAAGGGAAGAAGAGAAAGGGGGGTCGCTTCTGGAGTAGTCCCCTTTCCCCGGTGTAGCATACTTTCGCGGTCTATAAGAATCTCTGTGTGGTTACCGTACGCTCTCATCAGTACTGCATCGTGATCTATCTGCTCCTCGGTCAAACCGGGTTTGCGGTTGATGATTTTAAGAAGCTAGATCCTCATGTTAGTCCATGGCCCTCAACGTGGATTATTTCAGGCCCCGTCGCATCTGCGAGAAGAGCATGGTTTTGCGAGAAACACACCGTATTGGTGATGCCGTCCGTGAACCGCACGAATTCAATCTTGTTTTCCGGCCCCTCCCAATCAGGGTTGAGTGTGAGGATTAACCGCAATGCGGAAGCGTGAGAGTCGGCATGGTTATAGGATAGGGGGATATAGCGCAGGGCCGTCCCGTTCTGCTGGCACAGAGTCATGGCGACAGAGGAAAAGGTCAAAAGAAAAAGGAGCGAAGGGGATAAGAAAACGAGGTAGTGAATGTCAAAAGTAGTCAGGGGCGTATGCGACAGGTCGACCGCAAGGTTGCTAATATTAGTATTCTAGGTAACTTCAAAGCGCATGTCAGTCCAGGTCCGATAGATGATGATCGTAAGGGTCGCGATTTGTCATGTGAAGTGTTGATGTTATAGCATAGAATAGGGACACCGGGATACATATAGGAACTCCGTACCAATCAGCCAAGCCCGGGAGAGCGGGTCTTGGGGGAGTTTCTCCTGATACTGAGTAGAGTGGATTAGTTGAACGATCTCGCCAGCCCACGTAAGGGTCAGGAGTACAAATTGGCCGGCAATTGATACTCTGGAAGCGAGCAAGTGCGGATGGAAGAGAAGAAGCAGCAAGACCGAAGAGAGAGTGGCCACAAGGGGGTAGTAGAGGTTAAGGATTGGAGGTAGAGAAAAGAAGGAGAAGGGGAAGTGAAGTGGATGAGCGTTGCTGGTCTCGTGCCCAGCTTGCCACTGATTGGTTTTTGGCGGCGGGCCCTGAACGCCCCTCCTTTTTTTTTCCGCTCGACGCTTCAAGCCTGAGGCCCAAAGGCGACCAACCACTGCTCCTTGATCATGTGCAATGACGCAGTAAGATGAGGGGCAAATTGGTTCTTGCGCGACGATAGGCAACAGAATATGAGACAAGATATAACCCAGGCCTTCCCTTCAGATGACCACCAATATCACTGAGGATGGAAGTGATACAAGTGAGGTAAATTGAAGTTCACGTACAGCAGCAGGTTGCGAATTGGTGTAACTGATCTAAGCCGCTTCGGGTCTCGCCTTCTCAACAACCAAAGCAGATTTGGCATGTGATTCTGCCGCCCACCGCAGATCACGTGTTCAATGTCAAACATGCATCACGTGTTTGCTCTCAACCCCAGCCCTAACTTCAGCTCTTCTCGGTAATCCACTAGTCCCGACTCCAGTTAGTGGCTCCACCGCCGTCGACTACATAAGCCCGCCGCTGCCCGCCGCGACTTTGATGGTTTTTCTTTCTTTTTTTCTTCATCATCAGTAGCGGTTTACTTACTTTATGTTATGTAAATCTTATCGGGGCTCCGTCACCGTACGGCTTGCTGAGGGTTACCTTGTGTGGGATTTTTCTCTATGGGTCTCTCCTCCGTTCCCGGCCTTGAAGAGCAACATACGCATTCCTTTTTCCCTTACAAACTATGGCTTAGCTAGGGTTTCTGCTCGCAAGAATAGATCCCCATGCGCATAAGCTGTGGAGGAGGCGTGATATTCCAACCTTAAGCACTTTCATGTTGGTGCTTGAGGTTCTGTAACTGTAAATCCCACTTGCTGCATGTTGCGAGGTGTCCGACACAACTGTCGCATGTCTGTATCGTATGCTTGGCAAGCAGAATACTCCGTATTCTCGGCACCATAGCCGGCTTGGATGGTCTTTTGCCAGGAGATTTTAAAACTTCCGCATTGTGCTTGCGGAACCTACATTTGACACCATCATAGCTACCGAGTACGCATCTCGTGTGTGCCTTGCTGTCATGTCTCCTCAAAACAATCATTTCATTTCCATGCTACATATACTTATGCCATTATGTGTCGGTTCATCGGCTCTTAGCCTGTGATGGTATATTTTATTTTCATAATCCGTGCCGTGCCCCCCAAAGTGCTCAAGCCCTGCCAGCCTTTCCGACCTGGATGCGCTCTCCAGTCCATTTATCGTCGCTCCGCAGCACCGGCCAGCTGGTGCCGTCCGCTTTGACCAGTGTCAGTTCCAGCTTCGTCCCCATGACACGGAACTGGGACTTCTCGGCATCGATTGGTGCGAACAGCTGATAGGTATCCTTGTACCGCTTGTTGTCCGTCGTAGGAAGATCCAACTCCAAGGATGTGGCGGTGAACTGGACCTTTGCGTTCTCTTTGTCGATCTTCTTCAGGTAGAGAGAGACGTTGACGGAGGATGGCGTCTGGTAGAAGTCGTTTCTGTAGAGACCAAAGGAAAAGGAACATGTCAGCCCTGCACTTCCGGTCACGCAGCTAGCCCTGGGGTAGCACGGTAGCGATCACTTACCTGACGGTGTCCACCTTCTCCTCACCCGGGGGCTTGCCCTTTCCAACAAACAGATGCTTCGTCTTCTCCGTGCAGCCCTGGATCTTCAAGAACTCATCGAACTCGAGCACCCGCTTCTTACAGCAGGACCAGCCCTTGCTGCCCTCGTGGAAGATGGGTGCGCCGGGGTGGAACACGCATTTCTCGTCCTCGCGCGCCACGGCGGAATCATATCCCTTGTTGCAGCCCTTCCGGCGACAGGTGGCGTTGGCCGGAATCTCGAGGTCGGGGTCGTCGGACTCGGGCTCTTCGGGAACGGGAGTAGGCGCATTAGAAGGAGGGGCAATGGCGGGCGAGATGGCATGGCGGGGAGGCTCCGCCACCGGCGTCGAGGCCGGGGCTAAAGGAGCCTCTTCGACGACCGGTTGCGGGGCAGGCTGAGGGGTATCGTCGACGGTGGAGTGTTTGCCCGTGGTGCATGGGGGGATGGCGAGGAATTCATCGAAGGTGAGAACGCGGGGCTTGCAGCATTTCCAGCCTGGGTTGTTGGATAGTGGTTAGTCCTGCGGTGCGCCCGGGGAAGTCGAGATCGGGTCCTCAAAAGTATAAGACCGGAGTATAACGAACGACTCAAACCAGGGAAGTTCGAAAATCTTCCACAAGGTCCCTGGAGATCATACCTTTTTGACCTTCGTGGAACACTGGCGGGCCGGGATGGTAAACGCAGGGCTCTTCGGGGTCGGTGAACTCCTTCCCGCAGCCCTTGTGGACACACTTGGAGGCCATGGTTATGAATGAGCGTATGGAACGGGGAGACTGAGAGAGCACCGGCTGCCTTGTCTTTGGGATGGGAGAAATAAGACTGATTTCCCTCACCGTGAGGAGAAATGCGAGTTTGTCGCATCGAAGCGCGCAGAACCGCAGCTGGAGGGCTGGCCCAAATAGGCTTAGCCCGGGGGAGCTCGAAGGTTCCATTGTTCATCCCCAACTTCCGCCCGTTGCGTTGTCCGCTCCCGCTTCTCCTCCGTATACTTCTCTTCCTCAACTTTCGCGGTGCGATTCCTGGTAGCTGTGCGTCAATCATGTTTCCCACTGCCATTCGTCTCTCCAACGCTGTGCGCGTCACTCTCTTCACCCGTGCTGGCTGCGGGCTCTGCGACACAGCCAAACATACTGTGACTCAATTGCACAAGCGACGTCCCTTCGAGTATACCGAGACGGACATTGCTCTTCCCACCAACAAGCCTTGGAAGGATGTCTACGACTTTGACGTTCCAGTTCTTCATGTGCAGACTGTGAAGGGAGATGCGTCTCTCTCCGATCCGAAGAAGCTTTTCCACCGATGGACCGAGCAGGAGATGGAGACGCTGATTTCCGAGGCGGAGAACAAGCAGTCGTAAATGCATCAACTTCATTCAGCTATGCTGGCAACTTTGCATACATGACGAGCGATGATGCTACCGGTCATGGCTAGTTCAGCAATTATTGCCTGCTATTAGCAGGATCGCGCAGCACGCTTGATCTCGAGCAATGGCACGAGACGTGAGCCGAGCCACCCATTAGGCAACTACAGAGCTACAGATTTCGTTGTCATCGATCGCATTGTCTGGATCAACTTGGCACATACAATGCCTGGGTTACAGTCTTAGCTTTACCTCCGCGCAAATGTCTGTCACCAGACAGTTTTGTGGACGTTCCACAGATTGCGCTGACAAGACGGTGGGCAATTGCTCATCAGTATTGTCGACCATATTCGAATGTCAAATGAGACCTAACATCGATACCTGGCGCGTACCCCAACATTCAGAATGAGAATTGGGTGCCTTGCCTGACAGGGTAGTGCAATCTGGTATACTCGCACCCTAGTCAGCGGTTTCTCTTCAGCCTCAGGAGCCCTACAACCTCTATTTCAATGAATACATCGCTTTAAAAGTATAGCTTATACTTATAGCATTCACCAAAAGCAACAAGAGTCTCAATTCCACCTTGAGATTCCCCGAGATAGAACAATATATTCTCCGTATCACATCGCAACACCACCACCACCACCACCACAACCACAAACTCAACCATATACACCCAACCCTCACCTTACACTAACCCCCCCCTCACCCTCCCATCCTCCACCCCTCACCACCCTCCCTCAACACAAAGACCCTAACCAGAACACCCATGACTCCCCTCCGTCGCCGGATCCTTACAACCCCCCACACAAAGCTGCGCATGCCCCACATCCCCCGGATTCTTGCAATGAAACAAGATATCCGCTAGATCGTCATTCTCCAGCCCGGTCCCCTGCAGTGCCGTCTTGAGGTCATTCTCCGTGAATCCTGCACCCACCCAGAGCGTCAGCATCATGAATCTTGCACTGTACACCACAGCTTTTCATTCCCCCTCTGGTGGTTCCCGCCCACGAACAGAACCGCCTCCCGGGGAAAAGAACCACAAGCATTTAGAAACCAAGCACCCCCCCCTCAATCGCAGTGGCAGAGAGGAGAGAACTCACCCTTCGAGCTCAACAGCTTATTGGCGCAGTAATCGAAACTCGGGGTGCAGGTTTTGTCGGCGAGGGTGCCGGTGGCGAGGGCAAGGAGACCGGTGAGGAGGAGGGTTGTTGTTGGTTTCATTTTTTTGGGTGGGGGAATACACCGGGAAGAGGTTGGGTTGAAGGGGGGGGGTTTGTGTGATTTTGTGGAGAACGGTTTGGGTTGGTTGTGTTGTTTGAACTACATCGGGGCTTGGGGGAAGGTCGTTGGTTATGTAGACATTTGGAGCTGGTTGGTTTCGTGGGGAAACAGGGGAAACAGGGGAAACAGGGGAGACGCATTCTTTGTGATGTCGGTAGGAGGTTTCTATTTACTACGTACCCATATCTCCGAGGTAGAAACAGACAAGGTGAGTGGAATGCGGAGGAAAGGGGGACTGGGACGACTGGAACGCGGCGGTCCGGGAGTTGGTATGTACATGTCGTAACTACGTAGGTCCTGGGCCTGCTGGACTGGAGCTGAAATGCCATATGGCCTTTAGGATCTGGATCCCAGATACCGGCTTGCTCCATTCTTCCAATTGTCCGCAGGAGCTAACCAGGTATAAGACGAACGGCCATTCCATGTGGCGCGCCTGGATTTCGCACCATACACATCTTCTATGTAAGACATGAACCCCCAAATAACAGACATTACTATATATATTATCACTATGGGCTGATGAGTTACCTCTCCGACACCGAGAGACCAAAGCAGCCAGGCTCTAGTTACCGCAAGAGCTAGGTACAATCCGTCCCATTCGCAGAAAGACAGAGCATTCTGTGCAGCCGTTCCCCCTGTGAACAGAACGTGAACAGAACGAGTGTATATCCATGGAACCCAACATGACAGACCCCAGACCGCATCCAATAGAGCCCATCGAGAAAGCAATGTACAAGTCAAAAGAATTACATCAGGCATTATAAAGCTCAAAAGGAGCTACTCTGAAAAGAAAATCATGAGCCGGACCCAGCCGGCAAAAAAGAAACGAAACCAGAGGCAGACATTCATGGCGGAGGGTAAGGGTGCACAATGCCAAATTGCGAAGAGGTTGGCATTTTCCGTTTCGAAATCTAGAACTCATGCGTCCGAGTCCACGATGACGGGAGCTGACTGCCACCCACGGTGAATTCATCGCAAACGTACCAGCAGAACTAAAACCACATGACGCCAGCGACTATTGCAAGCACAATGGCCATACAGCTGCCACTGCGCACCCGCTCCGGTTCAGCTTGATGTTCAACAACCTTGGACTGCTCCGTAGCAGTCAACGTCGCGGTCGGAGCGGTAGTGGCCTGCACGAACGCATCGATTGTTTGGGTTAGTGCAGATGGTTCTTGCGCATCGGCCTGCTGCTGGGTCTCGTCTGGTGCCAATGCTGGGGGCACGGCATGTTTCGTATGAGATTCGTTCAGTGGATCCCAAGGCTGAGGGGAACCATCCGAGTTCATTATTTCCGAGCACTTAGAAGATGTTGTTGCGGCGGTATTTCGGAGCCCCTGGCGGCCTACGACGGTTTCTATATAGTCGTTACCAACACGGCAGGCCTGCTGCCATGAGGTTAGAACACATGATAAGAACCACCTCCGCAATTCAACAAGTTTTGTCGTGTCGAGCATCGTACGCCCTCCTCCTTCATTACCAGATGCCAATAGGTGAAAATCCTCGTTGTGCGGAGGCGTCAGATGGACTGAGGTGTTTGCATGGTGCAGACCAAGGTGCGGTGATGTTTGATCCGTTACAGGGGCGTCGCTGTCAGAAGGAAAGGAAGGAACGGCTTGCGGGTCGTCTGTTTGCCGGGTGACCAATGCCTTGAAGGCACGTACACCGCGCCTGAAGGCCGACGACTCTTGAACTGTATATGTCATTGGATCACTATCGAGGATCGCCGCCGCTTCAAATGAGCTCCGGGGAGGCGCATCCGTGAGCGGACGTCGTGGCCGGGATTTCCGATCGAGGTAAGTCGAACGATCTTCCTCCAATGACCACGGCCTTGGTTGTCCACCCACCATTCGTAATCGTGGTCGCGCATCGACCAAGCCAGCCTTATCCCGGGAAACATCTGCAAGAATCCAATCGGAAGACATTAGTCTGAATATTGCGGCAAGCGATGAATCGAAAAGAGGAAGGGCACGCTCATACATCGAGGTTCACTGCGGAGATATCCAATGTGCCCGAAAGGCAGAAGATAGTCCCATTCCTTCGCCAATGACGGTACTAGGCTCAGCAACGAAAAGATCAAGAGAGCGAGAAACGGAATGGCCCCAGGTTTCTGGAGACCCGACCGCATCATACACAACTCGGCGACCTGTGGGCGCAGGCCTGACTTTCTCTATCCACGAAGACGCGATGTCTGACAGTATAGTCGGTGGGAATCTTGCGTGATTTGGAAATTTCGCAGTCCGGCAGCTTCATCGCCGAAGGAGAAAAGAGACGGATAGGACCAGAAGCGAAGAGAAAAAAAAATAATTATCAGATGGACTGATTCACAACTCTAGCGCAAGGTCCGGGCGGTACATTCAATTAAGTATATGGAGTGTGACCTCGTAGGTGGTTTCTGAATCGTCTTTTCTCTGGCGGACTTGCGTCTAAATTGGAATCCTCTGCGGGTCTCAGGGTCTTGCGCGGTTGACGGCGTATTGATGGGATGCTGGTTTTCCCCTCTTCGTTTCTTGGGCGATGGATACTGTCGATCAATCGGGGCGGTCGGACGGTCGGTGAGCGAAGCGCGCGTCCTGAGATTGAAGCCTCCGAAGCAACGACCGAAGCACAAGCACAAACACCGCTGCTGCAGGGGAGAAGAACAAGGAGGAGAGGGTTTGACTTGCGAACTCGCCAACAAAGGGCCGTCCGGTCACTTTCACAGGTCTTCCTCAGACTCCCGGAGGTGCAGGAGTCAAGCAACGCAATGACGTAGAAGACCACCGGGTCGTAACGTAAATTCGAGCTCGTCGGGTTCGCAAGCGGATGTTGCCAAGTCGGACTATGAGAGAGGGGCTGTCGTACCTAACGTAAGCGAGGGTCCATGATCTTGTCTGTGCTTGAAAGTGCTTTTGGAAGATGTCATTACCGGTTTGGACTTGCAATTAATTGATACGTGACGCTGAAAGGACTGACATCTTGTGTTCTTCTGGGGAATGATAACGCCGTTAAAATTGGTGAGGGAACGGGCAATTGCTCCAGGCAGACATTTTGGAGGTCGTCCGTCGTATGGAAGAGAAATTCGGACGTCACGACTGGAAGTGCAAACACCCGCAAACTTTAAGGGGTCTGGTCGCCTCAGGCAGGATTTCTGCTGTCGCTTGAAGCTTCCACCCTGAGTTACTCCGTACGTGCTCCGTACTGCCATGGTTATCCACTACAGATTCATCCCGAGATCATTTGCTTCATACACAACACTCAGTGAACCTATAGACAAGGAATTAAAATCAAAAAAAAAAAATAGAAATAAAAATAACTTAGCGTAACAGCAGATAAGCCTCCCCAGTACCGATCGAATCTAAACCAACACATGGAACAAGTATATACAGATCATGAGTACGTATACAACAAGAACGGAGAGGTCCAAGTTTATCAGAACAGAGATCAAATAGGGTTTACCATTGTCGGATCAGGCACGGCAGGCGGCAGGGATTCAGCGCTCGTCGGTTTCACTGAAGGTGCGGCTCTAGAGAAGGCTGTCGTTCGAGAAGACGGCGTGCGGGATCCGTCGCTTCCGGACTGTTCATCTCTGGGTGTCTCAGCGACAGTCGTACTGCCTGCTGTGCTCGCCTTCCTTACACGTTTGACCATCTTGCCTAGTATCCCAACGATCTCCGCGGCATCCTCAAAACTCTCATCATCCATACCCTCCTTCGCATTGTACACATCCGCGATGGCCTTTTTCGCTACTCGTCGACAGGCAAGTGGGTCATGGAGGCAGTCATAGAGGTAGGCGGCATACTCGAGCTTGATCGATAGCCGCAGAGGATGCGAACCCGGAAGAACGCGTTCCGCCAACAGTACCGCATAGTCGAAGCATTGCGTAGCCGTCTTGGTGTAATCAATCGCTGGTAGGAGGAAAGCCGACATTGACTTGGGCGGCTGAATTGGAGCAAGGCCTGGAGGAGCCTGTGTGACTCTGCGCCGCAGCGCATTGTCTGGGACTGCAGCCGATGCATCGGAGACTGAAATCGTTTCGGGTCTTGGCTGGAACGAGTACCTCAATTCTGGAGGCTTGTTTGCCAGATCTGCTTTTGCAGTGCTGTTGGAGAAGGTTGCATTGTTCGGCAGATTGTCGATACCCGGTGCATGAATGGCAGGTTGGTTATGAAACAATACAAAAATGTGGTAGAAAGAAGCCCTCAGCTTAAAAGCGAGAATATTCAGTTCCACATACACCTGTACACGCGGAAGAACGCATTGCTCTAAAATGAGGAGACCTTCGCGAGCAAGCCATATAATATGGTAGTAGAGCTGAAGTGACTTGGTTTCACGGGTCGGATCGAGACGTCGTAAGCGTCGTGCACGGAGCAATTTCTTGGAAAGCATGACCGACAAGCCCAGTAACTTGTAGAGCATAGCGGACAGAAATGGATTCTCCAGGCTTGTTGTGGCCGCAAAGTTGCCCAAGGCCTTCTGGTCTACCTCGGAGGAAGCCATCCACAAAACCAATGACTCGGTGTCTATGGGGAGGCTTGCGCCAGTCGCATTAGCTGCATCCATATTCAAGTGATTGATTTGGCATGTACAATTGAGGAAAACCGCAGGAACGTGAATTGGTCGAATCGTGATAGATCACATCGTAAACACTAGTTAAACCCACCAAGGTTGCCATGCATTGATGTATGAACGCTCAAATGCGGTTGTATGTGGCAAAGACAAAGCAAGGGAAGCGCCAATGCTTACCTAGACTGCGCACGCAAAGAATATATTCAGGACACGATCAGTCTCTGCAAATGCTGCAGCTGCCCATGCTCGTGCTCGGCGCTTGAAATGTAAATTGGCTCCCTCGACTAGTCCGGCGTTTCTCGCTGTCCGGCTAAATTAGTGATGGCGGGGTTCCTCACCCTTCAACGTTCGTGCGCTTGATGCCTGTGTTCCCAAGTGGTGCGTATATATCAATATGCAGCCCTAGTTGAGGGATTGATGTGCGATTCGTCCGAATCAAGTGGCTGAAAACAGAATGCCGCCAATATCCGACCAAAGAAATATATTACATGCAAGTTAATTATGAGGTACGCCTAGAGGAGATTGTGGCACGAAGGAGCTGCTGTACAGTGAGGAATGGCTTGAGAAGCAAAAAGACGAGTTTCCAAAGGGGAAGAGTAGAGTGTGATCTGTTACGAGTTCAAATTGGTAAGTTGAATTGCATGCATAGAATGAAATCATGCTAACCGATCAACAAATTCGTGCAACCAAAAAGCACGAAACAAGGGAAGGATGTATAGAGAAAAATGTTAGAAACGCAAGGCACAGTAAGAAGAGTAGCCCACGGGATGAAGGCGAACGAGTCTGCTGTTGTATTCGTGGAGCAATTCTCGATGCATCGTGCTACTAGAAGCAGCAAGGCATTGACTGCACCGCCCCGCCAGCTTGCTGCCTGCGATGGCGGAGGAGGGTATGGTCAATGGTACTATCGATATCAAGATCGAGTATGCTATTGCATGAAGCAGACTTTGTATAACAGGGATAATCGACAGAAGATTCAATTGATCATAAAGAATTGATGATATGAGCCACCGTTGAAGAAGTGGATCAGCAGATGCTGCTTCGCAGGCGCGCAGACCTGGGGAGATTATGCTAGTAATAAATTGTTGTGCGAGACGATGATGCAAGGGCAAGTTATTCGCCCGAATGGAGGGTCTTTGAGGATGCAGCGAAGTGGATGAAGCCCGCTGCGGCATGGGCGTGCTAATTAAAGTAAAGTGAAGGGCGGCGAAACTCCACCATAGAGGCAGGCACTGGACATAGTCTAGTGAGCCAGTGAGTAAGGTCAAATCCTCGAGACCTAGAACATTCATTGATCAGGCGTCAATCCCGCTTCGTTACTCTTTCCGCCCCAAGGCGGAGGGAATCGGGCACGAATGGGAGGAATGGCTAGTAGCATTAGCAGCAACATACTCGAAAGTAGTCCAATTGCCATTCCCATATTATTGATAAACTGGCAAAGAGACAAAGTGGCATGTTGGCTGCTCCCGTCCCCCCCAAAAAAGACCAAGCCATGAGGCGGGAGGACAGCGCATCAACTAGTCCGATACGTGTCAGAGCCCAAGTGCTGAGTTTCCCTGCCTTGCAGCTCCTGGCCCAACCGGGGCGATGAGATAGGATTAGTACGGTGGGTCGCCTGTCGCCAGCCTCTCTCTCGGCAGCAAGAGTGACACATGGGCTTTAAAGCCAATTGCAGCCGGGAGAAATCGACCGGAGCCAGACTATCGTAGTGAAATTCTCATTGTGCCCGAGCAAACCGCCACTGAGGACAGTTGCTCCAACTAGTAGAACGGAAAACGTGGAAGTTCAGCGCCCGCGTGCTTTTTAGCGGGGAGGGGGATGATGGCGGCCGGAATGACGACAGTCGGCAGCTGTCTGTCAATCGTGGCATTAGGGTCTTCCGTGCATCTTAACTTGGGGCTGTGAGGGCACAATTTCACCACCAAGCAACAGATAGGAAGAAGTTCGCCTCTTTGATGTAGTTAGCCAGAGGTGTGGTTATGGTTGAAAGGAAAGGATGATCATTGATGATCATGATGTTACCCCACTGGCAGATCCGCCACCGCCTTGCTGACCGCTACAAGCGCTATCGCTTCTTGCCATCAGCCATGGTATCTTCCGGTTGTCAAGTAAATACAAATATTGAATTAGTCAAATAGCATATGTGGTATATACATGCACCATAATTCGTTCAAATGAGCCAAAGATCAGAAAAGACACCCAAGGGCCGTAACCTCGTATAATCTCTAGGTACTCATCGAGTCAAAAGCCGCTCAATCCCGTCAATTCATGTCGTCAATGTCGTCGCTTTTCAGTAGGCCAACGAAGGCCCTCGTCACGAATGTCTTCCATACGCGGTTCTTCTTCTTTTTCTTCTCCGCTTCGATGTCCTGCTCATCGTAATCATTCTTTGCGTCGAGATCATCTAAGTCGGCTTCATCCACATACTCGAGAGAAGACGACTGGCCCTTGCGGGCTTCCCGCTTGGCGATTCGTGAAGCAAGTTTGAAGAAACTGCGTACAGTGAGGTCATCCATCTTATAGACCCTATCGTCTCGAGTGTTGTACTCCACTTCATAAGCGAATACATCGTCGGGCTTCGAACCAGTAACCTCTTCTGCGTCATCGCCTGCTGCCCCGCGACTTGCCATCTGACTATTGATTCTAGTTAGGTTCGCAAAGTATTGAGTGTAGCCGAGCCAAGAAAGCGCTTGATTTGAGTACGCCGGTCCCGGAGGTGCGGATTTGGACGGAGGGCCTGGAACTTTGAAGTGGGGCTTCTTGCTTTGCTGTGCCTGTGTCTCAGACAACGGGCTGTCATCCTGCTTTCCCGGAGAAACGCTATCCAGGCTGCTGTGGGAAGGTGTATTGGCCCAAGTGGCTGCATGTTCCAATCCAGTGATGTTATACTCCACAACTCGCAGGGTCGGGAAATAGTTCGGTACTACGCTGGGAGAAACCAACGAGACACTGTATCGTTCTGCAAAGGGTCCGCCGATTTTTTTCAAGAAGCGCTTTTTCTGCTTCTTCTTGGACCCTCGGACCGATGCGTCATCATCGTCGAACCAAGCGTCCATCGAAAAGCTTTTCGACGTGCCCGCTGGAACAGACGGCAACTTCGACCAGTCTTTTCTGAGATTGGAGAGGTAATCGGAACGGGATTTCGTAGACAGCTCATCTGGATCTCCAGCGCCGCCAAGATACGCGAAAGACTTGTCGACATCGACGATATTCACCTTGTGACTGTCCTGAAGCATGAAATGGTCGAGATTCATGTGTCCATAGACACTGCCCACCACAACGTCCCGGAACTGGTGAAGCCACAAGGTATACTTCTGCCAGCAGGACTCATCCCAGTTCCGCTTGGAGCCAGCCCGAGCAGGAGGGACGTGTCCCATGAGAATAGCCTTCATGTGCCTCCCGCGCAACATTTCAAGCTGCACCCGCAGCCATTCCATATGCTCGTAACCTGGTTCGGATCGCGCAGCGCAGCCATCGACGGCCGAATTCGAGTCGAAGAAGTACATTGTGTTCAAGCTGACCACAGCCAGCTTCTCGGGAATCACCTCGGAAATGAACCAGCCACCTTCGACGAAGCTGTGAAGCTGATGCTCGGGTATGAAATTGGACCAGATCTCTCTGTATTGCTTTGTCCATCGATTGGGGCCAGCCTTGAAGATGTTGTGAGGCATGATGTCGTTGTTGCCGAAGGTGGGAATAATCGGAATCGAGATACCTTTCACGGACCGTTCATCCTTGAAAGTCTCCACGAACTTCTTCGCCACCAGCTTATTCAAGTCGAGCACCTCCTCTGGTTCCCGGGGATTCTTCTCGTCGTTGTCGTGGCGAGCTGAGTCTCCAGTCCAGATAACGAAGTCCACCTTGCCCTTGAGGTTTTTCTCGATCCAGCGGAATGTTTCGTTGATCAAAGTGATAGGCGAGTCGCATTCGGTTCCTTCTGCTCCATAGTATCCAGCCGAGCCGTCTCCTCGATGACAGGCCCTGTCGGGTGACGCTCCGGATTTATAATATGAATCGGGATGTAAGTCTATCCTCAGTCAGAACCACGCTCTCTTGCCTGGTGTCTTGAAGGTTCGGACAAACCGGTTATGTGCAAGAAGCGGCCGGAAAGGCCTCTAGAGGTTGGGTCGACATCGTCCTGCAGCTCGAGCTGAGGCGCATGCAAGAGCTCAGAGTTGCCTAGCGGTTGTTGATCGGAGAGCGGAAAGGCGCACGCGCACGTCGCAAGCAAGCAGAGCGCCGGAAGCAGTTGTGACGGAATCATTGGGAGAGAATAAGCTAGAAGGAGGAACGAAAGCCCCGACGATGCGGGTAACCGGTCTCAACCTCGGTCAGTAAGAATAAACATTAAGAGATAGAGCTAAGAGAGGATATGGATATAGGCGGAGGAGTGGTGAGCAAAAAAGATAGAGCTTGAGCCTGTAATGATGGTAGCAATGATAATACCTAGATTGAAAGAAATTGAGATTTCGACTTGATCGATCGCCCGTTAGGCTAAGCTGGAGACTAACGTCACGTCACTCCGTCCACTGCAAACCACCAAAGAGCCCAACCGGGGAAAGCGTCAGGTAAACCTCGGATAGCCTCAGGCCGGGACCCACTCCTTTCGACTGCTGCAAAAAAAGAAAACCATCAACAGCATCGCGACTGTGTACGCTGGTCTGCACATTATAAATATGTCTCTTTTCAACTCATTGTCATATGAGGGATTACCGTCAGCTAGGTAGACCACCACCACCACCACCACCACCGCTAACGGACCTAGTTGTGGCTATAGAACCTCGAACTAAGTATGCGCGGATGCCACTATTTCAAGCTGGAGGCGTGTGACCCTTGCGGAATGTACCCTAATGTAAGGTACCTGTAGCCTGTGTGATTTCCTGATCCGACCACGTGCCTGCGTCCTCAAAGGCGATTGTAGGAGTGTGCATGTTTTGGTGTTCGTAGTGCGGCTCTTATCTGTTTACAAGGTCCTCATCAGACGCAATATCTGATGTGGTGGTCAAGTGCACAAGTCAAGGGTGCAACTTGATAGGCCATCCTAATCATCATGGATCCAGACTAGGACTTCCGCCATCAATATGTGTGTCTGTGGAGAATAGTGTGACAAGTCACTGTTTCAGCAAGCCGCTGCCTTTTTCTTGCCTGCGCAGAGGCGGAGCGAGCATATTTCGAATGCCAGAACGGAGTAAACAAAAGCACATGTTGAGGTTTTCCAAGCGATAACCATTGACACTGATGAAGGTGGTCGTGAGTTGTGACACACCAACGGAGATCAATTTAGTCAAGCTAATCATCCGATCAATCAGAGCCAAGTAAACATTACCTTACCTACTAACCTACCTAGTCTAGAGCTGCATGGTGGATGAGCCACTCTGAAGGGCGATCTCCCCCTCCAGTGAGTGCGGGGCACTGCTCACTCCGAGCTTCCGCCGCGCAGCACCGACGCTCATCTACAACCTCCCCTACCATTTCCAACTTACTCTCATCAAGTGATAAAACATCCAATACACCATGTCCGGCTACCCTACCCTCCAACCCGCCTTTACGATCCAGGTGATTCCCATCCCCCAAACACAGCCCTTCTACCAACACGATCTAAACAACGTCTCACGCGACAGGTCGTCATTGATGCGCCACTAGGCGTCGGTAAGCGATCTTCCCCTCGTCACGAAGCCAGCCTAAAACAAAGCTAATCGTGCCAAAAGGCAGTGCCTCCCGGCAGAATAGCCTTCAGGTCGTGGTAAGCAGCTCCACTGGCTTCTCGTGTCAGAGGGATCGGGCGTCGTGCTAAACGCTGGACACAATCATGACACCAGCCGATGACCGGCGGCACCATTAAGAGCGAGCCTGGCTTCTCCCCCGCTCTCGATGCTGAGTTTGTCGGTGTCGGGAACGACTACATTCACGCGGATGCTGACGGCAAGCACTTGCGTCTGAACGCCCACGCGGTTGCTAAGTATGTGGCTGCTGCCCTCCTTGACCGTGACACAGCCGTTGTGTGAACCATACTGACCCTGGCATCAGACCTAAGGATGACGCCGATGTAGGTAGCTTTGCTGTCCAAGATAGTAGGTCGGAAGTGGGAATCTGACAAGCTACTAATGTCAAACTAGCTCATCTACCTGAACTACACCGGTGTTGTTACGCTGGCCCCGGAGGTCCAGGCTGTCTTTGCGGGCACCGCTGAGGATGGGTCGACGCCTTTTGGCAATGCTTGTGAGTTTATACCGATCTCTCGAGGGTATGGCGATCACTGATCTTAGCATATTACAGTCACCCATTTCACTTTCGAGGTATGTTTTGTTGTTGAGAAGAGCTACAGGACCGTCACCCTGACACAGATGAACAGACGGGCAGCGCGCGCTACAAGGACCTTGAAACCCGCGTCTTCGTCGCCCAGGGACGGTTCAACATCGAGAAGGGCAAGCCGCCTGTGGTCGAGTACCGGGTCAGCCAGGTCGTCCAGGGATAGAAAAATTCCGACTCCCATCCCGAGCTGTTCATGCAATCATGCACACAGTTCGAGTAGCTTCACAAAAGTGAATATGACATTCTCCCTGAATAGACAACAGTCGTCAAACCTCATAATCCATAAGATACATCCAACCTAGTCAAGATAGCACGATACAATAGTGCCCAGTCCAGCTTATATAGCCCCCACCCGGAGAATACCAGGCAGGGACCTAACCCAACCCCCCAAGCAAAGGCCTCCTCTCATCATCATCATCACCACCACGACCCCGCAACTCATCCTCCTCATCCCCCAACCCAGACAAACCACCACCACCCGTGCTCGCCCAGGAAAACCCCAACCGCCGCCTCAAACCCCCCAAACCACCACCACTACCCCAATCAGCACCCTGATCCTCACCACCAGCCTCACCACTCCCAAAACCACAAGCCTTCCTCTCCCCCAACCACCCAACCACCCTCTTCCCCGCCCACGCCAGAAACACCACCAGCCCAAACGCCGCCAACGTCCCTAGCACCCCCCCGACACCCGTGAGGAACGTAATGGTGCTAACATGACACCCGAACGGCAGCGCCCTCAGCTCCCACCGCTCCTTGGCCCCCAGCGGACAGATTTCGGAAGACCCGAAGGGGGCCAGAATCGGCACCCTGGCGGGATTGGGCACGCAGGCTGAGGACTTTTCATGTGTGTTAGTGATCCGCCGAACGGCGCCAGGCAGAACCCGGAAGATGGATGGTGTAGCCAAGCATATGCACAGCACCGTACAGCACCGTACAGCACCGTACCGAGTGGCGAGTGGCACAAAAGAAAAGAACTTACAATAGCGCACCAGCCACAGGGGAGATCGCCCTGTAGGCAGTAGTCACATGACTGGCGGCGCCAGCATAGATAGAAGAGATGGTCGTCGGGGATATCGAGGGGGTGGGGTTGATGGGTGGTTGAGTTGGTGGCCATGGCTATGGCCAATGGGGACGGCATTTGAAAATGTCTCGGGTTTTATTTGGATGGAGAAATGGAGGGAGGGAGGGAGGGAGGGTCGTGTGAGCTTTAGGTGGGCGTGGATTTGATAACATCGGGAGGTACGGTGTGTGTCACCGGGTAGGTTTTTTATGGAGGTGTTTATTTTAAGAGGGTTGGTCGTGCGGGGTTTCCCATACCACCAGTCGACCCCTGGTTGTGTTTGTTAGCAACAAAAGTACGGGTGAGGTTTAGGGAACGTATTGTGTGAAATCTGGGGCATTTCTGTAGCTGCTTTTGGGCTTGATGGTGTTTTCGGTGATGGGTTAGGTTGGGGCTGATGCCTATTGGCGTCGGAGTTTTCTTGTTTATTGTTGTCCTAGGAGGCTCGAGAGTAGAGTCTGCTAATCTGGATTTATAAATAAGTTCCTATACCTCAGAGCAAAAGTATCATCCAGATGATCTATTTTGATAGGGGGAAAAGTGATATGGAAATAACATGGTAGAAGCCCGGCGCTCCTGCAGGAAATGCTATGATAAGACATCCTTCGAAGAATCCGATCGTAAAAACATCGCATTAAACCACACGCTTAACCTATATACCGCATACGGTTGTTAGATGGACCTCTTCGACCAGACAAACAGACTCGGACCTACCTCGAAGAATCTCTTCAACCACCACACCTGGAAGACACCCTCGCCGATCAGCACGGCCAGCTGGAAGATACTCCACCACTTCACCCGGGCGTTGGTGCTCTCAGCGGTGTTCCGGTGTACCCGTTCTCTCACGACAATGTACGACTGCTCATCCTTGACTTGAGCCAGGGCCTCGGACAGTTTGCGGACTAGCATAGGCGGTTAGCTCACGGGGGTTCCTGTTCCTCCGATGGACGAGTGCGGAATGTATTCCTACCTTCTGTCTCCAGAGGGTCCTGCGCCATTTCGTGCTCCGGGACGTACACGATGCCATGGACGTTGAAAGACACCTCCTTGGAGTTGGACGACCATCCCTCGTTGCTGAAGCAGTAAACGTATTTTCCGTCCGCGTGGGCGTTGAACGAGTAGTCCTCCGACGAGATGGCGTGCTTGTAGTACTGGCGGTTGTTCAGGGGGTCTTCGACCTAAAGGTGACGAAAGAGTATATCAGCATTGGCTCCGAAGGATCAAGTCCACCACAGAAGCTGCGGGAATTCCCAGGTCTGTTCAAAACAGCCCGCTGTCCCTCTCGTCCCCGACGGCGGAGGACCGGCCGTCGTGCCCCGAAGTCACGAAGAGTAAAAGCCATACCCAGAAATCGATCTCCAGGTTGCCGCTGCCACCAAACTCCCGGTCGCCAACCTGAAATGTGACCGTCATCTTATCGTCCTTGTGCAGCGACTCGTGGAAGCATTCTCGCGAGTGAGCCTTGAGCTGGATGTTGTGTGCGGTCACGGCGCTGATCCACCCCAGCGCGGTGATCAACAGGGTCGTCGCGGAGAAGCGCATGGTGGGCGATTTGATCTTGTCGTTTTCCGCCTGGATTGGGAAGGTCCGAGGTGTAGGTATTCAAGCCCTGACAGGGAATCGTGGGTTGTTTGTGGAGGGTTGGGCCCGAGACGGTGTCGTCGTTGTTGGACTCCGGGACGCGCAAGGTGGTCTCTGTGCTGTGCTGGGAATTCGAGACGCTCGGACCACCTCTCAATCCAGCCGGCGCTAGTCCCCTGGAGGTATTCTAGAACTATACACACATAGTAACCTTAAGCAAGCTCTCTATGCTAGATTTATTCGTATGTACTCTACCGAATCGATTGACGTTCCTAACTGTCAGAGAAGTTTTATCGATTAGTTCGAGTTATTACGAATATACTTCCTGAGATCTCCGATACTGCGCCACATACAGGAGCTACTTCATACGGTCAAACAAAATACTATGCATGTTTTAGGTGAAGACGAATGAACGAAATGGATGATTGAACACAATGATAAGACATCGCAGATACTTAACGAAGTACCTCGGTATAGTAGGAGCTTACTACATGATCAAAGATGCGGTGTAGATGTGAGGCTGAACCGGCCTTCATAAAAAGCCTCTCAAATCCTCTTGGGTTTTTTTCGCGCGTGGATACTCTGGGCCTGAAATTCAGGTGTTGATAACTTGTCCCCGAGTACGACTGTACCTTTGGCCATGCCTCTCTATATGATAGATGGAGAGCTTCACCGGATTCCGCTCTGGTCTTTCTTGCTGGGTAGACTCGATGTCGAGTTAATAACCCGCGGTCGTCGAGTGGTGAGATAGATAAAAAGCTCTGTTTCCAGGCTATTCTTCCTGTATGTTTCCTAGCAGCTGACTTTGAGTTTTGGAATAGAGACAGAGACGCAATGCTAGGCGAGGAGGGCGAATTCGACCTCTCGAAGACGGACGTCGTAAGTTGGGAGCTCATTGACTCATATGGGACCTCAGATATAGCAAGCTTATTCCCTGACTCCTAGTTCCTAGAGAACCCCGTCAACCAGAGCCAGGGGGCCCGCCTCCTCGAGGACCTCAAGGACCTCCGGGGCCTCCAGGGCCTCCAGGACCCCCAGCAGGACCCCCCGGACTTGAGATTCTGACAAACATGAGGGATCTAAAAGTCGTTATAGTGGCCTAGAACCCTATGAGCATCGAGAGACTCGTACATTTCTGGGACCTCGTGATAATCAAGAGCCTATCAGAAATCAAGGGATTATTGTATTTCAGTGGCAGCCCCTTGGAAATCAAGAGCTTCCCATCAGAGATCAGTGGCTCGGACGTGCCAGACCTGGCGGATTTCATGTTTGTCATGGCTTTCATGGTCACAGCTTGAGAGAACATCTGAGAGAGATCTAGTACTCTCAAGACCAGCTGCTCCCGACTCTGATTCTGGAGCCTAACGGTGACTTTCTGCAATCACCAAGAATTCTCAATAGTCAATGTCAACGGTCAATAGCAACCAGCTATGGCCGGTATCTGTGTGTCAAGGAACGTCGTTTCATTGAATTGATACGTAGCAATGTGGTATGAAATTCAGTTCCATTTGAATGTCGGAGGATACTCCGACACTATTGCTCTGAATAAGCGTGGTCAGTCATCAAAGGCAGCCAGCCCACCGGTCTCGCGCCATCACCTTCGAATCAACGACCTGCAACGCTAGTCGGCGACGGAACTTGCCGGAGCTGGAGCCGACAAACATAGTATTTTTGCGGGATTTCTTTTTGAGGTCCAGTTCGGCTTTCCAAAATGTCTCGACTATCCAGATAGTGTCCCTCCAAGGTTCGCGCCAGTGTGCGTATGCGTTCGAAGTGGTTGTCGTGACATCACTTGAGAGTGGAATGACCCTCTCTGCATTGTGGTTGAGCCAATGTTGAAGCACAATGTTCTCGGTTGTCCACGTTCTCGGCCCTCCGGTAAGACAAAGACTCACCAGACGATCCATCCGACTGACATCCGACGGGAACAATTGGTAGTATTGGTTGAATGAGAATTCATAAATTGGCCGTGTCATACTTTGAGGTGCCTCAATATCAGTGCCCGATTTAATCAACCTAGTCGAATGGGCAGAAATTGTATTTGATCATCAAATCAGAATTCTGATGGGTGTGGACGACTGTTGTTTTAGGGGTGGTATGATTGCATCACAGTGAAGTGGAAGAGACTGGTTCAGTCGTCTACATCCCTCAAAGGGTTCAGTTCAGTTCCAAGTCTAGGCCCTAGCGTTTGGTGGCGGATCGGCGGAGGCTACAGCCGACAGAACCCCAATTTAAAAATCGAGCGCAAGGGCGTCCAGGGATTAACGGGCGCTTGGCGGCTTTGAGTAAGGCTTGCGGAGTCCCCGAAGCAGGAAGCGGACCCTGTTCATCCTCCTCCAGACTCCCCGGGAAATTCCCCCCAAGTGCAAAGATCCACCCGATAGTTTTCTTTCCCTTCTGGCCGTCAAATGGATGCCACTTCCACTCTCATTACACAAAGCACTGTGGGTTTCCGACAGGACCAATCCTTTCCTACTTATTGGTAGTAGCAGACTGATCCTCATCCCTTATTGGAGGTTTACCACAATGTGAATGCACGAATTTGCCTCACACCAACCAGCTGGAGGGTCCACGGTTGTTTGCTCTCATCACACTGACGGATCCATTTATTCATCCCACATTGAATCGCTCCACTGTACTGTCTGTTCCCTGACGTACTGCACAGTGCTTTGTGTTCTTATAATAACTCGGTCAATCCCTCCCCCTTTGATCCTTCCCCCCTCCCCAACTTGTTGCTATTTGTGTGTGTGTGCTTTCACCTGGCGCTCATTCTTTTTATAGACGCCCTCCTTTCTTTCTTGTCTTGCATCCTTTGCAGCAAAAGTTGAAAAAAAGGATACTTCCTGTTCTTCTGCACTTCGTCCTGACAATCTGCTCTGCAATCGCTCGTCATTTCGCTGTCCATAGGAATCAATCATCCTACCGTTCTGTTTGAGAATGCGTATCATTAGCTTGCTGCCTGCCTTGTTGGCCACCATCCCCGCTGTTACTGCGGCCGGCACTCTGGGGCTTGCTCTTGGCAACAAGAACGCAGACGGCAGCTGCAAGGCCACCGGTGACTACGAGGCTGATTTCGAGGCACTCAAGAGTGTGACTAAAATCGTCCGCACCTATTCTGCCAGTGACTGCAACACCGCTCAGAACATCATTCCTGCCGCCAAAAACAAGGGATTCAAGGTCGTCTTGGGCATCTGGTACGTGCTCGCCTGTGTGACCGTCAAAGGATCTGTATCAGCGGGTCGCTAACCCATACATTCGACTAGGGCCGACTACACTGATTCCTTCAACAACGACTTCAATGCTCTGAAACAGTCTGTGCCCGGCAATGAAGACGTTGTCAGTGCAATCACTGTCGGCTCTGAAGTCCTCTACCGCAAGAGTCTTACGGCTCAACAGCTTTTGAGCCTGATTCAGCAAGTGCAGAACCAGTTCCCCAAGGTAGCCGTGGGCACCGTGGATAGCTGGAACAAGTTCGCCGATGGCACCGCTGATCCCATCATCCAGGCTGGGGTTAGATACCTGTAAGCAGCACCCCCTGCTAATCAATGCTGGGAGTATGCTACTGAGACTGACTCGTGTTGCTAGCTTGGCCAATGGGTTTGCTTACTGGCAGGATGTTTCTCTCGCCAATGCCAAACAAGTGTATTTCGATGATGTTTACGCTGCCAAGGAGCGTGTGAAGCAGATCGCTGGCTCAAATGCTAACAACATCTACTTCGGGAACGGCGAGACTGGCTGGCCGACTGGTAAGTTATTCATCTATTCAACTCTTTGAGTTTCGTTCGCTAATAGGTCGTAGATGGAGGATCCAACTATGGCAAAAACTCCGTCGCCGGTACTAAGAATGCTGAGCAGTATTATCAGACCTCGGTTTGTGCTATGCTAGCCTCCAACATTGACGTGTTCTACTTTGAGGCCTTCGACGAGTCTTGGAAGCCCAACAGTGTTGGAGACAACGGCCAGTCAATGGATGAGAAGCACTGGGGTCTCTTCACTGCCGATCGTAAGCCCAAATTCAACCTGAACTGCCCGAACTAGACGCCTGAAAGCCTCGAGGTTGTGCGATGAGGGGCCCGGCTCCGTTTCTTTGTTCTTTTTTTCTTTGTCCCATCACCTGTAACATAGGTCTTACATGTTTTATAATTCGCTCTGTCAATCGTCGAAAGCACGGGCCTCAGGTAAGGACCTGACCTTGACGCGGGCTTTGTCCCCGCGAGGTGGTGCTCATCCGACCCGTGACTCTTAAGCTTTCCGCGAGAGACGTAACTTCAATGCAGGAACAAATCTTAATTTGAGATTTGAGATTGATCATTTGGCATCTATGATCTCTGATACCACGAGGACTAATCAAGATTAATAAAGCAACCTGGTATCTTTTGAGGGTACCTTCATACAGGTTGTTGAAGAGACAGCGTCGATTTAATTGCCGGTACTTGGCTGGTTTCTGGGGAGGCGGGGAATCCTCCATCCTAGCAACTGCTTCGAAGACTGCCGGGCACCAGGACTGCAAGCAACGGAAGTCACGGGCAGCCGATGAACCGTGGTTCGCAACGGACGGTGGTAGGCTGGTTAGCGCAGCTTTACCCCTGAGTTCCCTTTCGAACCGCGGGAGAAATCAGCACGGTTATGTTTACTATGGGGAATCTCTGGGCTATTCGGTCCTGGCAGAGGAGCCAGCACATTGAAATGCCTAACAATACCTACAGCTTAAGATAAGACTGACGGCCGCGCTCTGATCGCGTAGGCATGCGGGTCTAGCAGCTAGGTACTGATATGCCATGCCACCCTGCTGGAACATGCTTGGAGGCAGACACCAATCTCAATCATGATTAGTTTATCCTTACTGAGAGAATAACTGAGGGAATAATTAATCAAGAACCAAGGCCACACAACCACCACCACCACCACGTCAATGGCGGTCAAACACATCTACCTAACTACCTCACCATGAATGAAGTAAGTGGGTGTGAGTTGGCCGACTATTCAATGCTAAGGTAGAGAACTAAACCAGAAGAAGGCAGAAGGCCACCACTAAAAAAGAGCTTCTGCTCTCTGATGGTCCGAGGTTGAGTTTACTGGAGTTACCGTACCTTACCAGTCACTACTACTCCGTTACTATGCGCATACTAGTACAGATGAAGGTAAATCACTTCTTCCCTCCGGCTTCACGCCAATCGTGTGTTTTTTTTCCCGCCTCATCCTCATTTTCTTTTCCAGTTTCCTCCCAACCTCAATTTCAACCGTCCTTCCTGCGTATGCGCCATGTCCCTGTCAATCGCATACCTGAGGTTATCTCTGTAATTTGTTGTCCGCTGCCTCTCTTTTTCTAGCATCCCTCTTTCCCCCCCACCTCCCGTTCCATTGGATGTCTGGATTGGGTCATTCGTCCATTGTCGGAGCCCACCGCCCCTGAAGATAATAATTGTTGCCATTCACTCGCACCAACAACAACACCGACAACACCGACGACAAAACAAACAACACTCACCACCACCATAATTCCCAGAGGTACGATCTCACACAAAGTCAATCTTCCTCCCTCCTGTGTTGATCACAGGTTTTCTGTGAGGTAGTGCCAGTGTTCGAGCTTGCTTTCCATGCTCCATCATTCTGGACAATAAGGGGAGCAGCAAGCAAGTGCTTGCTGCAGGAGACGAAACGGAAGGTGTGTGTCTGTCTGCCCGTCTGCCCATCTGCCAGTGCTGTCTGTCTTGTCTTGTTTCGTCTTGCCTTGCTGCCGGTCTGAGTGGTAGCTTGGCTGCATTCACTGCATTCAATGCCAAACGCCCCCATCATGCCTCCCCTCTTTTCCCTAAAAGACTAAAATAAAAAATGATTTCCCTTTTCCCTTCTAGCGGTGTCGCGTCGCGCATTCGTCCCCCCTCCCCCGGTCATTTTCATGCTTGCACTCTCGTAGCCACACTGAAAATGGGGCAGAGGCTAAACGATCAATGCTTTGGTGTCTACAGATCTAGGTCCCTCCGCATCTTCCGCCAATTCGGCGCTCTCTCCGCCATCGCCGCCGCCATCCTCCACTCAGCAATTCAGCTTCAGGGTTGATTCACATTTGACTGTTCCATTGACCTCGTTTCCTACTTCGCCTCGAGTGTCGAGCTTTTCGACCGCTGATTCCCCTGGCCGGTCAATCTCCCGCAGCGTAACGCCGAACCCCCCGAACTCACTGCCCGTCCTACCCAAATACCGAGGCGCTTGGGAATCATCGACTTCATCACCGGAGAATAGAAGGGCAGAAAGCAGCGTCTACTATACAACCGCCTGGGGCTCGCCGTATGCCGCACCCAGCCCTCGGACAATTTCGTGGTCATTGAGTCAGTCCGCCGTTGCTGTTGATCGTGGTTCCGGAAATAGCTCTCCGGCCTCGATGCGCAGTGGTGTCCAACACGGTCTTGAAACGAGTAACACCGATCTTCTCAGACCTTCTGCCCGAGACAACTCAACCCGACGCCCGTATAGCCGTCTCTTGAGCCGGTCACCGTTCGGTAGGAAAGGAGGAAAGTCGATCAAGGATTTCACACAGGACTGGATCAATCAGTACCTCTCAGGTCAACCCAGGACTGAGCGTGGTAATTGGCTAAGTGACGATTCGGGAAGCGAGGCGCCCTCGTTCTTCACAGCGCAGAACTTCGCGGAAGACACTTCTGACGATTGGCTGGGCCTGGAACAAGACGCCCGCGACGAAGATCTTCTGAGAACTCCAACTCTCGCCGACTTCGGCAGCCGAAAAGCAGTCACCGGTCGCAGTGAAGGCAGCAGGAGAAATAAGGAGTACCAACACAAGAGAACGGATACGTTGCGGCAGGAAGACTTCTGGGGTTTCGCCTACGATAAGGATCCCCCGTTGATAACCATGGATTCCACAGACATACACACCGCCGCCGGACCGTCGCAACACCAGGCTCCATCCTTATCGATAGAGAAGCCGTTGCCTCCACCCCCGGTGGACGAGGTCAGAGATGCCCCATCGAGTACGGAACACTTTCCAGAATCCATCGATTCCCCGGCTGTGAAAAGCCAGGGATCTGAGCAGAGCATTGTCCAACCGCCCGTGCAACGACAAAGGAAGAAGCTTATTTGGCGGGGGAAAGTATGCAATATCGCGCTACCGTTCGATGACAGACGAGGCACCGAGGAGTCTGGCTACCGACTTTTGACTCTCGATGATGTCGAAGAGCGATTGAGGAGCCTCAATGAACAAGGCTACGACACCCGCGGGTTCAGTGTTTCTGCATCGAATGACTCGACAGATTTGGAATTGGGTGGCTTGAGTCGCCCAATTTTTCCTGATCCAGGAGAAGTGCACGAAGAGTTTGCGTCTGGGAGTTATAGCGTCGGTATTCCTAACAAAGCCGATTGGGATGCGTATGTCGCCTTCCTCCAAGAGGAGAAACTGCGGGCTCTGGGCGTATCCTTGGGAGATGACGAGCCCAAGCCGTCCATTTCACCCGCTATGAGCCAGATGGCCTCGTTCCCTGGCTTAGTGTCGTCGCCCCCGATCCCAACAGCATCAGCCGCTAGCAATCCGTTATCCATGTCTCATCACTTCTCCCCGCAATTGAACCAACCTGGAAATCCCGCAGCTGGCTTGGGTTCGCTGGCTTCTCCGGCCTCACAGTTCAGTATACAGACACCGTTTTTGGGTGTGGATCAGAATCTCATACCGCCATACTCTATGCCGTTTCAACCTACTCCGCCGGCTCAAAATTCCCTTACACCTCAAAGTTTCTTCAATCCTCGGCAACCTGGCGCTGGTTCCACCTTGCCTGGCACGCTACCTAACCTTACCTCGATCCTGTCGCCCGTTTCGCCTTTGAATGAACAAAATGCTTTCCAACCCAGCTACAACGATCCCGCATTCGCGGAGCCTGGCTATGGGGAGCAAATGGGCCTTCCGAAGGATGTGTACGGCGATCACGATGTGCTTGTTAATGCTACTGAAGGCCATCTGTTACGCCCTCTTCACACTCCCACAGAGAACCTCGATAATTTCCATGCCTCTACTGTCGAAATTGCCCAGCCCACGCCCCGCGGTCACAGTCGCGGCCACAACCTGAGCGAAACACTCCAGAAGGGCCTGGACAGCTTCACTCCGGCCTACCACTTGGAAGAATCTTTTGACAGGCAACCATTCGATGACGGCAATCGCGGACAACATCTGGGCCACTTCGATGGCAGTGAGCTTCTGAAGTCGCAGTGGGCTTTCGGAGGAGACAACATGGGTGTGCAGCAGCTACCGCATCACATGCACCAATTCTACGACGGGAACTATTCTGGAGAGATCGCGCATGAAGGGTCCGACATCGATACCAATCCAAGCCTTTCTGGCACACCTAGGCATGGGCCACATGCCAACAACGTGCCTTGGCATCAGTCCAGACCTAGTGGCAGCTCCTATATTGGCGGACATCGTTCGAAGCTTTCAACATCGTCTCTCAATGTTGACGCTAAAGAATTTAAACCCACTGCGGCGCCGTCATCCCAGCCGTTCGCAAACCAAGACAACTCGTTCCAATTCCAAGCGGGCGGGAGCCCTGTATTTACATTTGGCTCACAATCTGAATTTGAGCCTGGTAACAGTGGCTTCGACACGAAGGCTCCCTCCTTTACCCCTGGTGCTTCCAACAACGCCACTAAACGAACCACTGGATCGGGTGAATTCAAATTCTCCACGGCCTCATTCAATGTCGCAGCCCCTGCATTCAACCCTGGTGGTAGCACTTACTCTGCCGCGCCGCAAGAATCCACAAGTGCTGGAACCAAGATCTTCAGCGACGTCGACCTTTCCCAAGCGTCGTCGAAAGCCTCCAAGAAATCCAAAGCCATTCCCATTGTACGGCCTGATGATGTCAACGAGGATAAAAGAAGCAAGGATGAGGGTGAGCATGACAATGGCAGACCAGGTCGTCCAGACCGTCACAAGCGTGCTCGCCGTGGCGATGAACTTTCAGAGACCGAAGCCCAGCTTAGCGTGCCTGCTGCGCTAGCCGAGGCGACCAACCTTCAATCCGCTCACATGCGCCAGCCATCCCATACATCCGCTGATGGCAAAGAGAACATTGTACCTGAGGATGGAGGAGCACTCCCAGCGATCCCGAAACCTGTCTCGGCCCAAGACGACAAATTTGCCGAACGGAAGGACACTCCTATCAGCGAAGCTTCCACCTGGATTCCTCAGGAGATGAAGAACGAGAGTGCTGTTGCAGCGCCAGAGTCTGAATCTGAAATCAAGCACACAGAGCCGGAGCCGTTGCATGAAGTCCAGAAATCCATCGAGCGCGATGCTGTCCAAGAAGAGCAAGGGCGAGCTGTTCCGGTACCTGCGGATAAAGTCTTATCATCCACTAAGTTGGGAGCTGCTATCACCCAGGAACGCTCGAAGAGTTCCGCTAGCCCTCAGGCCACACCGAAACGTGAGCGATTGCCCGAGCCAGCTCATCTGGAAGATGATGAAGACTCTCCCGATGAGGAAGAGCTTAATGCTATCATGGAGCAGCTTAACGACGATTCGGACGTCGGTATTGAGCGGATAAGCACACCTCTGACTAATGGTCGTGTGCCTGAATCTGTCATGCATGTGACCAAAGAAAAGCGCCACGTTCCTGCTGAAATCAGAAGCGAGGCCCCAAGCCCAAGCCCAGGACGTGGCCCAGCTCCTCACACATTGGACGTTCCTAAGCTTGACTTTGAAGCTCAATCGCAGTTCTCCGCCTCTCCATCAAAGGGTGCAATTTCTGGCTTCCCCTCGCCGATTCGTCAGCTTGTGAGCCGTACCGAGCACATCAGCGATTGGGACGATGTAATCTCCTCAGGCGAAGATGAGAAACTGGTAAACCGAAGCAGGTTCTTTGATCGCCATATCAACGACCTCGTGGGTACAACTATCGACGAACGGCTGAGGCCATTAGAGCGAGCACTTGGGGTGATTCAAGAGTCTGTCATGGCTATCCCATCTGGCTCTCATACCAGACTTTGGAGCGCATCTGCCGACGGCGACAATAGCGATGCTGACGACGAAGAGGATGTGTACGAGGAAAATGAGTCGTTCAGTACAAGATCACACATGCGTCAGAGAGAAAAGCTTGATAAGCTGAAAGCGGTCGTTTTGGAAGCACTCGCTGCTCACGCACCCCAGCAAGTCAAGGACGAACACGCGGTTTCCGAACTTGCCCAGCTACGGGAAAGCGTCTCGGCGTTACAAGCCCTGACCATTCAGAAGTTGTCACAGGACCCGGTAACAGAGCTCAGAGAGATGATGCAAGAGTTGGTTTCAAGCCAGCGTGATGCGCGTTCGTCGGAGACGGATGAGGTTCCCGCTGAAAGTCTGATGCTCCAGATTGAAGGCCTGAAGAACATGCTTCGACTATCTGATGAGCGAGCGGACCAAGAGTACAAGCTTCGCAGAGAAGCCCAAGACTCTGTTGCAGAACTTCAGCGGCTTCTCAAGGTGGTTGAAGAAGATGCTGTTCGTCATAGTGAGGCTGCAGAATCTGCTGAGGCCCGGTTGCTGCACTTCAAGGCTGAGAAGATCCCTTACTATGAGACTGTTCAGCACAAGGCCGATACGCTTGAACAAGAGCACGAAACCTTGAAATTCACTCTTGCCGAACTCTCGTCCAAGAACATCTCGCTCCAGGGCACTCTCGATGAATACCGGGTCACAGCCGACAACTACAAGCGAGACAGCGAGCAATCCAAGGCTGCTCTTGAGGAGGCCAAGGCCGAGAACAAGAGTCTACGTGGCATCGTTGAGCAGTTGAGGACACGCCTCGAAGATGGTATGAGTGTCCGGCAGAATCTCGGTAACAAGCTGGATCGTCTCCAAGAGGAGATGGCGACGGTAATTCGGGACGTGACTCATGATCAATCTTCATGGCGCCGGCGGGAGGAGGAGCTCAATTTCAAGTACAATGAATTGCGTGCTGCTTACGGGCGCGAGACGAAGCTGCGCGAGAAATTGGAGTATGACATCGATGGGCTCGAAGAAAAGGAACGCGAAGCAGCGAAGCTGAAGTTTATCTTCGGTCAATCCCAACAAGAGAATGCAAGGCTTGAAGAGCTGGTGGCGAACTTGCGTCTGCAGAACCACGATTTGGAGCTCAAGGCGGCTCGGTTCGAGCGTGAGTTCAATGAGGCGCGCGAGAGCAGTCGCATCGAAATCCAACGCACCAGAAACTCACTGGAATCGGATCTGGAGGCCGCTAACAGCCAAGTCAACATCGTACGGGCTGAATTAGAAGCACAGATTCTTCGCCTGCAGAGCCAGATGGACAATGTGCGACTCGACAATGACACGGCTCGGGAACGCTACGAGATGTTGTTGGAAGAGGCGGCCGAGACAAAGGTCAATGCCCTGGCAGCGGCCGCTCAAGCCCAAGAGCTGGCCATTGAAGAACAGCGCCGAAACCACGAACGCGTTCTCAACGATCTCCGGGAACGCCACGCCCGTGCTCTGCACAATGCCTCTGAGGATAGACAGCGAAACGAAGGTCATCTGCTGGAACGGTTGGCGCTGTCCGAAGACAAGGCCAACCATCTTCACGACCGAGTCCAGCATCTTGAGGAAAGACTTCAGATCGCCCAGGAAGCTGCTCGTGCTGCCGCGGAAGCTGCTCAGTCTGCTAAGTCGGGCCCTGCCATCGCACAGTCTACGCATGCCAGTACGCCTTCGATGTCATATCCCAATGGCTCCATGGTCCCTGAGAAGATTTCCCCTCAAGCATTGAGAGAATCGATTCTGGTCCTTCAAGACCAGTTGCAGCAACGTGAAACTCGCATTGAAGAGCTCGAGCAAGAAATCTCTACCGTCGATAAGGAAGCGCCCAACAAGATCAAGGAGAGGGATACCGAAATCAACTGGCTGCGTGAGCTGCTTGGTGTCCGGATTGATGATCTTCAGGACATCATCAACACCGTGTCGCAGCCATCCTTCGATCAACATGCTGTCCGCGACGCCGCCATTCGCCTGAAAGCCAATCTACAGATGCAGCAACAGGAGAGAGAGAGAGTGCACTCGGGACAGGCTTTCCCGAGCCTTCCTTCGCTTGCGGAACTGACTGCTTCCCCGCGCTCGCTTCCACTTGCGGCCGCGGCGGCATGGGGCAACTGGCGCAAGGGGAGGGAAAGCGTCGGCTCTGAACAAACACCATCCAAGCAGGGAGGTGCTGGTTCGTTCCTGTCCGGGCTCTTAACGCCTCCTGCCAGCAACCTCCGCCAGGCTTCGTCCAACTCTAGTAACCTAGCACCAACGAGTGGAAGACGCCCATCAGAGACTCGACCCTTGAGAAATTACAACACAACACCCAAGCAACCGTCCGGGCGCGCGAGCCGAATGCGTGAGCTTCCAAGTACTCCGCCTCTTCTCCGGCGATCAAGCTATGACCACGACGCCGAACCGACCGACTATACACACAGTTCTTTCCATGAGGACACGGAAAGCACGGCTGACGGTCTGGTATCAGCATCACCACGAGAGACAATCGATGGGCCTTTCGGACCTCAGATCACATCCCCAACCTCATCATCATCCTAGACTGTCCATATCCTTTCGTCGCAGGTTTCTCCATACTTCATGTTAATAGATAATTTCAGGGCCTCTTGTTGACGAGAAGAGTGGTTCCTTGCTTTTGTTACCGACTTGTTATATCACGATGCATCTTTTACACTCTCTTTCTCCGAAGTTTAACCTTTTGGCCATCCATATCATGTGATTTATTTTGTTGTGCTGTGTGCGAGGCGAGAAATATCTTTGATGACGCATCTTCTTATTCTTTCGTTTATTATACCATATCCAATGTGTTTCTATTTCTCTCTTTTTCTTGCGTCCTAACTCTGAACTGGATACCACCCCCATCATCTTGATTTGATTTGATTTGATTTGAGACCTTTTGCTGCAAATGTGTATGTACTGTACACAAGAGTTGTTTTTCTTTTGCTTGATCTTAATTCCGGTCTGCCGGTTTGGGTGTGTCTAGAGGTACAGCATTGCGTAGTGTGGTTTGCTTTGGGTGGTTGTATGAGGATATGAGTTGGCGGGTACATAGTGCTTTGAGTGAGTGACCCAAGCGGGCTGGAGTCCGCCCCCCTTGCAGATGGGTATGGCGTCATCGCTCTTTCTTCTTTTGCTTGAGTGCAGGAACTTCGGCTTAGTGTTTGGGCGTAGTACTGAAGAATGTAGATCTCTTTTTCCCCCCTGGTATACAGTAGTACAGTGCAGAAGCAGATGTGAAGTCCCCCCCCCTCCCTCTTACCCAGTAATTGGAATTGTAGAATCGTCAACATGAAGACCCATACAAGGGCCTGTCTTTCCTCTCTCAAGACTCAGGTACTGTATATTCCACAATAAAACTCTACCTCGGTAAAGAAACCCCAGTCACTAACAAAAGTATTACCCATTACATGCGGTACTGCAATACATCATATTCATCTTCTCTCAAGGCTCGAACGTAAGCATTCTAGAAATAAAACGAACCGAACTGTGACGCGGAAATGGAGAGATCCTTAACACCTTTGGTTGCTATGCCTCTGCGCATGCCAAGCTTGCTTTTCTGCTTGTGGCTTCCTTTCCCGGGAAGAGGCAGGGAAAGTGGAAAGTGGAAGGGGATTCAAGGTTCTTCACGCCTTGCTGATTCTTTGGGTGGGTGCTCTGCTTTTTCTTTTTGCTCGCTCGCGTGATGGCCCCTTGATGTGCGTGATTAGATCTGCCACGAGAGGAGCTGTTTGGAGTTGGCGCTTGTTGTGGCTGTGATACTGTATTTGGTTTGCGTTTGTGTGTGATGGTGCTGCTGGTGCTTGCTATCTGAGGGAGGGAGGGGCGTGATGCGGATGGATTGGATGTCCTCGTCTGTGATGTCGAGGAGGAGGGACCAGGTTGGGATTTGGGGGTCTATGTCGGGGAAGTTGGGGAGTTGGGCTGTGGGGGTTGGGGTCGGGTTTTGTGGTGCTGCTGGTGCTGGTGCTGGTACTGTTTCAGGTTGGGTGGTTTGTGTTTGTAGAAGACGGGCAGGTGGATCCCCGTTCTGCAGGCTGTAGAGGTAAATTGCGCCGCCGCCGGCGATGCTGGAGTAATGGCCTGTGCCGGGCTCGTAGAGGCACATTAGGCTTGCGTCCGGGGAGATTGCAAGGAGCGGGGCTGCCGTGGTGGGTGCCGCGGTGGGGAGGTTGGCGGTGTTCCATCTGGCGGTCGTGGCGGCGTGGAGGGTGGTGGTTTTGTGGTGGGTGTCTGTTGTTTCGAAGGTTGATTTATGTCTTGAAAGGTTGGTTTGGGGGGTGGGGGTGGGTTTGGAGGGATCGGTGGTGGGGGAAGGTGTAGGTAGGTCTGAGGGGATGGTGAAGGGGGTGATTTGGGGCATTGTCGAGTGGTTTTGTCGGCTGGGAAGGAGGCGGAGGATGGTTATTGTTTGTGCGGAGGACGGGAGGGTTGGGGATGTGTCGATTTGACCGATGCAGTAGCCATTTGATCTGCTGGCGGTGCTTTCGAGGCATGCGGTGAAATATCGTCGCCATGGGTGAGCGGCGTCTTCGGCTGTGGATGACCGCTGCGGGGCCTGGTGGTAGCTCCGCGGCAGGAGCTGGAGGCCTCGAAGAGAGACTTTGTCCCTGTCGCCGGGGCTGAGGGTGCCGGCCATGGAGGCGGAGTCGAGGTAGACTTGGTTGATGGTGGCACGCCAGTATGCGAGAGAGGTAGGACCTGCTGGCTTGCGATCTGGATTACCCAGGTAGCGCACGCGGGTCGGTTGGAAAGCGGTGGTATCTTGAGCGATTGCGACGCGGAGTAGAGTGTCGTCGTCCTCGGCAAATTCGAGGCTCGCGATCGTGCCGTTGGTATCCTCGTAGTTGGCAGGCGGCGGATGGAGGAATCTGTTTTCCTGGTTCACGGTATGCTGGGCAGGGGAGGTGAGACCGTCCAGGTCTCCGAGCAGGCTATAGATCTGGATCGTCTTGTCCAGCCCAACGGCGAGGAACTGCCCGTCTGACGACAGCGCGATGTGGTGCTCTGTATGCTGTGATGTGCCTAGCACGGCAGGACATACGGATGTCCAGAGTGAGTACAAAGGTGAGGAGCGGAGGAGTTCCCAAGGACCGTCGGCGCCTGAGCGGCTATACAGTAACGCTCGTGCGCCTTTCAGCGCCACAAGCTTCCGGCCGTCGCGAGAGATGTCGTATATCGTACAATGCGAGCATTCCGGAGGGAGCTGGCACCTCGATTGCGTTCTCTGAACGCGGTTGCGACAGCCCAGCAAGTTCTGACGGACGATCTGACAGAAGTAGCTGTTCCAATCCTCCTTTGCGAGGAGATCCGTCCGAGAGGGCAGCAAGACGGGGACCTGCTGAAGGGTGTTTCGAATAATGGACGAGGTCGAGGCTGCCGTCCGCCATTTTCGACAGGTTGCCCGAGCGGCGATGTAGTCTTCCACATCGAGGTAATCGAGAATGCAATAGATGAGCTCAACTGGTAGATTTGTGGCCATATTGTGCTAGTGGGGTATTGTCAAGAGAAAGAATTCCATCTTGAGAGTCCAAAAACCAGCTCGTACTCCATTAGGCGAGAAATCCGAGTTTATATAGAGAGCTCGGGAAACCGGCTCGATTGTAAACACATGGTTCGACATGGTAGGGATATTCACCGATAAGGTAGTGGTCGATCAGAGTACCCCTTTTGTGTGACATAGGTGGACATAAAGTGAAGCAGTGTGCAGCTCGTGCGTCATCAGGTACGAGAAGAGAAGATAATGATAGAAGTGGCCGTTGAGAAAGGGCTGTGAGATGGCAGATGATGAATGATGATCCACCGGAATTGATCGACTCGGAAACCACCCAACACGGGCCGACCGGAAAACAACAGGCCATCGTCCAACCTAGCGATTTCCATGCTCTGGCCAACGTCCCAACCGGCCGAATGACGGGTATGTCGGTCTGGACTGGGAGGGTACATGGATATCAAGTGGCGTGACTGTGTAGGCATTATTATTGTGGGTAAGGCTGGCTGGCTTTGATTCCATCATATCGGGTGATTCCCCCATCAAAAAATTCCAACTGGTCGCCATTGGTTGGGACAACTGTGCGACAAAGTGATGATGATTCTTTGATGATTTCTTGATTATTTTTGATGATTTCTTACAGCCGTAATGTTGGTCGTGGTCGTACGTGCCGGGATGGCCCTCCGTTGCGTCACAGATCAAATGTAAATGTGTGATCCCGGTAATGGTATTATGTCACTTTGTATAATTAACCTTCTTCGCTAGTATTCTTCAAATAGCTAAATGTCGCCCCGCCTCGAGGATTTGAAGTTTAATGAACCTAAAAGGATTGCCTGCAATGCAAATGGTCAAGCCGGCATTTATGAATGGAATGGAATGTCCTGACCGGAATGGCGGCACATCAAAAAGTCAGGCTGGCGCCAGTACTCAAGTACATCGTAGAACCCTGCGCTACCTGATCCAGAGGCGCGCGTCCTAGATATCTGGAGCGGCAGTCTGGCATGTGGTCGATCACGGCGTAGACTCGGGATAATCTCGGTCAAAACTCGTGCACTAAGCTGCCACTTTCTGCAGGGAGTGTGCACAGCATCAGTAGTCGATGGAAACTGACAGCCCCGGCTGTGTGTAACCTACACTTTTCCAACAAAGAAGCTTGTAGGTCGCTGGAAGATTTCCTTGAGCTTTCCGTCGCTCATATGATGATGTTCTTTTCTCGCTGGTAGAGATTCTTGAGTAGTTTCAACTGTTTCACACTCATGGTCTCCTTAGGAAGCTGGCTGGGAAGGTCAACTATCGCCAGTCTCATTAAGGCCAGTCCAACGTGTCCAAAGAAACCCACGACCCGCTCGGCGGAGGTCTTGAGCATAGCTGTCAAGAGGGTGATATGAGTATCTTGGATCTGGTCGACGGGGATGGACAGGATCTTGTGCATCGATTGCCAGAACATGGTGTTAGGGAAGGGGTTCTTGCGCGTGGTTTTGCCGAAATTGCGCAGGGTGAGGGCGGCATAGCCGGCCCCGAGAGCAGTCATGCGTTCGGCATGGGCTTGTTCACTGAGCCAAGGCCCGTCCGGCCCATCCCGCCGCCAACCCACGGCACGTCGCCCGCCTTCGGTTTGTTCGCTGCCGCAAAATCCCCACAGCGCCGGGCAAAAGACACGGTATTTCGCCAAGAGGATGTCCACCATGTGGTGGCCCTTGTAGACGAAAGCGTCCAGCGAGAAAATCTGTGCGGCCACAATGCCGATCGGCTCTGCATGTCCAATGTTGATTCCGGCTTCCTGGAGGAGGCCAGCAATGAGGGCTTTGGAAAAGATGTTGAGGGCGTAAATCAGTAGCGCGGGGACCTTGTTATCGTCGGAGTTGGCGATTTCAGCCGGAGGGAAAGCCATGAATTGGCGCACATCCACCGACGGTTCGGCGATAGAGGAGGCTTTTTCGAGCGTTGTCCGAATTTCCTGAATCTAAGCAGCAGCAATATGGTTAGCTTGTTCCCCAGACCACAGCGCGAACGATGTGAATCCTCACCTGTGTTTTGTTGCCTCCCTTAGTCTCACGGAGCTGTCCAACACACTTCTGGATGGATCGCCGAATATCACCCATGTTCTGCTTCACGACTGGATTCGTCTTGCTTTCATTCCTGAGGTATTGCCGGAACTTCTTCAAGTGCTGGTGAAGTTCCACATAACGGGTGTGAATCTTGACTTCATCTTCCGTCAAGCGGCCTCCACCGACCCGGCGTTGCCTCTCTGCCTGAGCCTCCTGTGCCTCTGCTGCCCGACGCTCTGCAGCCTCTTGTTCCGCCTTCCTTGCCTCTTCTTGTTTTTTGCGCTCCTCCTCCGCGCGTCGTTCCCGTTCCTTGCGCTCCTGTTCCTCTTGTGCCGCTAGCCTCTTGCGCTCTGCTTCCTCCTCTGCCTTCTTTCGGGCCTCCTCGGCAGCCTTGCGCTCGGCTTCTCGACGGGCAGCCTCCTCTTGCTCCCGTCGCTGTTTTTCCTGTCTCTCCTTCTCCAGACGTTCCGCCTCTCGTCGCGCCTCTTTCTCCTTCCGACGAATCTCCTCCTCAACTGCTCGTTGATGGGCGCGTAGCGTCTCTTCAGCTTCTTCTAACACCTGGTCATGTAACTGCGCGACTTTGTCAAGGGCCGCGTTATGCTGGACTTCGCGCTCGCTGTCCAGACGATCGAGGCTTTCGTAGAAGGAGCGACGCTCGTAGGCTTTGACTTTCTTTAGTTCCGTATTGTGAATCTTCAGTTGCTCGAGGTCGCGCGTGAGATCGAGAAGGAGTTGTCTTGAGGGGCTATCCACCTGGGGAGGATAGCTGAGGCGCCCCATGTTGCAAATTGGTGTAGGGTCTCGATAATGATTGTTCACAGCTCAAGCGAAAGACGTGAAAAGAAAACAATCGACTCAGTTGTCAGATCCAGAGAGTGTTGACGGAGTGGATTGAAACCAGGTCAGCAACATTGGCGTCCAATCGCCGGCAAGTGATATTGGATGAGATGAAAACAGCCAATGTGTGAAAGTTGACAAAGGAGCGTAGAGAGGAACTTTGTAGACGCGGACAGGACTCGACTTGCTGGACCTAAACATCACAGGAGATTGGCAATTAGCAGATATCCCGCGCGTAGGCTCGGTACCAAATATTCACATACTTCCTACCGATGGCGGAGTGCGTTCCTACCCAGACAAGCTGGATCAAGCTTTGTAGAAGCCTTCTTCCCAGTCAATTGGCCTGTAGTGAGCGGAATCTCGGCATAGGCAGCCAGAGAAGAAGCAAACAAAGGAATGGAGGTGCCGATGTCAATGGCTGGGTACACGATCCTGTCATTCCGGAACGTTTTGCGGGAAGAACAGAGCTCCGGTGCTGAGTCATCGTGACCGGGAGATGCAAACCCATCAAACTGGTCTGCATCACCGTTTTGTGTTGACTGGGGCTACGACAGTACTCCGTGGTCTACGACTGCACCAGACCGCCTGGCTAAACATTGGATCGCTCGGTTCCCACATCTCCTCCTTCCCCCCCCGTTCCTCGGTCGGAGTCGAGCAAACACCACGATTATCATGAATCAGACGACGATGATCTGCATTCAGATCACAACTAATCTCCTGCTGGATTAGATGAGATGATAAGAGAAACAATCCCTTAAGACCTTTCACTACCACTGTGGCCTGGCTCACTTCTGACACCCTTCCTCAGTCAGGGAGGAGATGTCGACGCCTCCATTTAATCTGTCTCTCACATCCAACAGCACCTCATGGCCATGGACTTGTCCAGAGCCCCGCCTGTTTCGTACTGTGGACCTCCAGCCTGCCCACTATTGGACAAGTCGACTCTTCGGGGAGCGTATCGATACCGCTGGATACCTCGCCCACTCCTCACTAAGACACCAAGAACACCAACCAACACACTGCTGAGGACGGTCAGTTCAAGGAAAGTTAAGGGGGAACGGACCCCAAATTCAGACAAACCGTTATCGGTATTGTTTCGCTGGCTCTCGTCATCATTCTCTGATCTTACTCCCCATGCAGATGGGATCTGAGATGTAGAGAAGTATGAGTTCCTATCCGGGGTTCACTAAGCAATTCCCACATGCTAGATGCAGGTAGCCCTATTCTTGATGTGCCTAAAAGTTAAGATAGGCCTTAGTGACCTGTGACTTGAGTCCACTGGGACTCTAAGCGGTAGCTTACCGCCATACCGCACGCACTCAATCCCCTAACCCCATTCCCCATAGGCTCCAAGCCTAGTTTAGGCGCCGCGGTGCACGCAGTGGATCATCTCCGAAGAGTCAGAACTCAACGATAAGTTAATGCCGGTGCCGGATCATCAGTCCCTGCGATCAAGGATGGATGTTGCCCCTGAATATTCTACACATGGACTTTCAGAGTGAGTTAATACCAAGCGTACTGGAAGGAAAACACGTCTGTATATGAAAGAAGAGGCATACGTAGCCAAACAAGCGAACCATCCGTAGATGGAAGCTCGACTCCAAGTGGCAAGAGTGGCAAGGTCAGTGACAGGCCGAGAACCAGAGCTGTAATGGAACCAGACCCTGTCGAGCTCCAAGTATGGTAACCTTCTGGTTTAGTGACAAGTTTATCCCATCACTGATCGGATGCTGTGGTAGCTGAGCTTCTTACACATAGCCAACCCAGGTAGTAATGAAAGTCAATTGAAACACCATGTCATCTTGATTCTCTCTCAGATTGAACTCAGACTGACTGCGTGCATGTCAATAAACCCATCATGGCTATAACTACTACCATCCTGTAGTTTCTGGATCCTTTCCCCCCACCGCAGACTGTGAGAACTGCGATATCATTCACCTATTGTACAGTGTTCGACTCAGTCAAATCTACTTTGGAACGTGAGATCCGATTGACTTTTGGCACAGTAAGAACAGTAATCTGTTTGTGACTCAAACTTATTCACATTGTCTGGTATTGTTCGCGGTAGTATCCTTACAGGGTCTGCAACCTGGCCAGGTTATGACTACTAATAGCGACACTAAACGGATCTCCCTCACGCTTCCTGTCTCTCTCTCCTCACTCTCTCTTCATCTTCACTTTTCTCCTCCGTGAGGGAGGAGGAGGGGGGACAAAGTGGATGCATGCTACTACTACTACTACCACTACGGAGTGTACGGAGTAGTCTAGTTAGTGGAAGGGTAACAAGGTCAGCAGCCCTAGACTAGACCAGTCCCAGCGTTGTTTAACTTACCGGACATGAGTACTCAGTTCTTGTTGTAGCATGCTCTAGGTCACCTTACCGGTTTAGGGAAGGTAGGAGGGAAAAAAGAAAAGTAGAAAAAAAAAAAAAAAAAAAGGAAGAAGGATGGAAAGTGTGGAAAGTGTGGAAAGTGTAGAAGTTCGGTCTTGGGAATAATACGTGCCTGCTAACTCCGTCGCGAGTCGCGACGAAAGCCCCATATCAGATCCAATAATGAGTTGGGTTTAGCGTCACATTGCAACCGTCATGGTGTGCCGTTCAGAACTTCAGATTTATTTCCCTTTTGGATACTGATTCTAAGTGGTCCGTCCCTCTTTGCTACGGAGTATACCGTCGTCCACAACAGAGTACGCCGTGCACAGTACACAAGTACGCATTCGAGACTCTCACTCTTCTGTGGAGAAAAGCAAAAAGTATGCAATAATTGAAGCAACCTCAGTAGACTTAAGAGACTACTATGTAATAGGACAACAATAAAAGACTAGACAAAATAATAAGTATGCAACAGAAAAAGAAAGAAACCAGGAAAGGAAGATGACTTGCCCATACGTCCATCTAACTATCCATCCATCCATCCATTCACCACGCACCTCAAGGGAGAAGGGGTGTGTGTGGCATTGCTCAGCAGTCCCGGGAGGCACGGGAGAAATTGGATGAAGGGAGGTTTGTGCACGCTGAATGTGGTTGATCGCCGGTTCTAGTTCAACCAGACGGAAGGCAAAGGAATGGGGACGGACGGACAAGTTCAGGTACGGAAAAGTACGGCACTTAGGGGGCTGACGGGGGGGGGGGGTGGGTGAAGTGGTCAAGCTGCAATGGGTAATCATGGTATTCATTATTACCATTGTTACGGACACTTGTTACAGGATCATGCCTTCCAGACGATGCTTTGGGGCCATCGGCGGCCCTAAGTTCAAGCACGGCACTGCACCACTCCCTACTACTTACAGTAATTGACCTGAGGACGGGGCAAGAATTAGGCAAGAATTAGGCAAGAATTGAAGTACTCCCGTACCTACTCAGCGACTAACTTACTACGTACCCGGGGGAAAAAAAGGGAGGCAGAGAGGAGAGAGAGGCGGGGGCATGGATGGAAATATGGATCGCTGCGTATGAAAGCTGTAAGAGGCCTTCAGTGGCACTCACACTCAACTCTCACATCTCAAACCACTGAACTCTCTCGGTTCAATGGTTGATTTACAGTTTTACCTAATTACCCTACTGCCTGCAGTTGAAGATGGAGTCATCACGGTCGCAGGGAGACACTGGGACAAGTTCAATGTTAGGACTGTGGCAGTGGCCACACGGCCCAATCTGCGACGTGGTTAGTCAGAGAGAGCCTCCGTCCGGATCCAGTGCAAATTCCAAAATTAATCACCGAGCAGCGAAAATAACTACCCAGTAGTCAGTTATTCGGTATCTCTGTATTGATCATCTAGACAATTCTGGCACAGTCACTTTGGGTCGGCAGGGTGGTGCACCTTTTGGCTTAGTAGTACTCCGTAGTCTAGTTACTCATAGTAGGGCTCCATTCGCGATGGCAAGGGTGCCGGTGGTAGGTAGGCAGAGGATACAGGCAGTAGTCAGGCTATGCAAGTTATGGATCACGGGCTAATTGGATGGTAGTCATGGGGAGAGAAGAGTCAAAAGAGGTAAGGTATGGGAAGCCTGGAGGCGTTGTGTCAGGTATGGAACGGATCCGCAGAGCTCGTCCGGTATGAAAAGAACCTTGGCGGTTGGACAGTTGTTGCCCCTCTAACTGCAAGCGGTCAAGCGTCTCTCACTGCGAGAGGTAACAAACTTTCGCTGGTATCAGTAATACTTCACACAAAGTACGGAGCACCTGCGGGGCGGAGGTAACTTTGTACCCCCATTACCGCATACAGACAGACACGCAGGCAGCCCAGCGGACTGATGGTTGAAAATGTCCGAAGCTGGTAGAGCTTCAAATGAGGCTAAGCAAATGAGGGGAGAAACGAAGAGAGAGAGAGAAAGGAAAAACTTTACTTATCGGCAATATCTTCATCTGGTTCTGATCCACCTTAGGGAGTAGTAGTGAGGGTATTAAAAGGCCAAGACAAGTGATGTGCGTATGTAGCCATGATGTAGCCATGTAAGGTATTTTGTGTGTCTGACTGGGCTTGGTTCGAGGCCTGCGTGGTGTATGAGTATGGGTGTTATGGACAGGTGTGAATGGATAGTACAAAGGTGCATCCCCAGAGCGACCCGGGCCCAGCAGCGAGGCGTAAACGAAACAATGAACCAATCACCCGACTGCCACTAGATTGGCGACTCCAACAGATGGACAGTCCAATCGCTGCGGGTGATTCGACTCGCATCCAATCCTTTTGGCGATAGAGGGCCCAAGAACTTGACTGGACTGCTGCTCTGTGCCTACAGTATTACAGGTACTCATTCTCTACTCCGTACTTTAGACTAGGGTACATTTCCCCCCCAGGCCTAAGCCGAAGGCAAAACGCTCTAGAGCCTTGCGAAGTGAGAAGGCTGATGAGCATTGCCGTACAGTGGTACCTTTCTACAATAGGTAAGTCTGTAGACTAGCTGAGCCCTGAGGGCTCATACAGCAGCAGCAGCAGCAGTTGTAGCTGTAAGCGCCCCTCTCCTGTCTTTTGCCCTGGTGACTGACTGGGGCGACTGAGTGAAACTGGTGGCCGCGGGGCCGACTGGCTTAACTTCAAGTTCAGACAGCCAGCTTGCTTAGCACTAGGTAGTGAGTTGATTAGGCTAGCTAGGAAGCAGGACAGACAGATAGACAGACTGTAAGTGTACGGGAGTACGGAGTACCTTAGGTCATGTTCGATTCAATCCATCCATGATATCCACATCTAACCCGTCCCAACCAATCCCCATCACCACATCACCCAACCTTTAGTTGCTGTTCTCATTACTGGGCAACTCACTCGTCCGCTCAACTCACTGTCTGTCTGTCTGTGTCTTTCCCAGGTTCCGTCTGCTCATCTTCCTTTCCCTTCCTTCGCCAGCTCTACCGTCATACTCCGCCCCCGTCGTAATCTTCCCTCCGTCTCTAGTCGGTCGGAACCAAAGAAAGAAACCTCCTCCGGTCCTGCGCTTGGGGTGGAATGGCTGGAGGATTCGACCAAAAAAAAGTCTGAAAAAACCCGCGCCAAATCTGGTCCATTTTTGATTGTGTTTCCGCCACTGGTGTACTTTTTTTCTGGGTCGTGCTGGTCATGATTCAACTTGCAGGAGTTTACGAAGATGGAAAAGGAGAAGAATCCACAGTGATAGACCAGACCACAGCACACAGACACAAAACACAGACACCACTCACATACTTACAGTCACATACCCACCATCGAAGGCGCAGGGCGGGCGGCGGCTATCGGGTCTGGGTTTTCCCTGTCAGCTGCTCGTGGAATTCTTTTGGTTTAGGAAATCAGTCAGTCACTCAGTCAATCAGTCAGCCATTGTTGTCGTATTCCGTTAATAGTTTTGATTATGGCCAAGATCCCCTTTCTTAGTCTAAAAAAGGGAAGAAAACATCTTTCCATGGATTGGAAGGAGAGAGAAGGGATGTCATCCGTAGCGTTGGGATATTTTCTTGCTCTTCGGTGCGTGCAGGCATCCAAGCGGCAGTACTCTAGGCCTGAAACCGAACAATACCTACAGTAGTAGTCAATCAAGAAGGGATATGCGGTGTATTGCGCCTGGTCCAAGACACATTCCCTACCTACCTAGGTACTGTACTCAAGTAGTAAGTCATCAACTGGCACCACCCACTCCCTCCCCCTCTCCCCCTATCTCGCATTTGATGCGAGTAAAAGAAACCACGCTAGATCCAACACGGTCGGAAAGTACTTTACTGGATTCTGGCGCGCGACCCGTGAAAGAGAAAAGAAGAGAAGCAAGAGATCTGACTGACCTCGTAACACAGGACGCGTCGCAGTTTCTCTCTTTCCTTTCCCCTCCCTCCTTTCACCCCGTGGTACAGTCAATAGTTCAATAGATTACAACAGACAAACAGGGTGACGAATGCCGAAGATCAATTGTGTGCCGCCCATCACCCTCCCTTCCTGACCCCATCATCATTCATGGCATGCATTATTGTCGGAATGAAGATGGATAGATGGATCATAACACCCACCTTTCTGGTAAAGTAGCGTTTCCCTCCGCCTTCCGCATCGGTCGGCCCAGCAGTAATCCAAAGATGATGATCGGTCATGACACATGTGTTGTTGGTGGTCATCCAGACCCGCCGACACAGTGCCCAGTGGTTACTACATAACTACCTTAGTATACGGTTGCAAAAAGAAAGCACCAACCACGCCATAATTTCACGACGCTGACTACCTCAAAACGGGTCCAAAATCGGCGCGCGTTCTCAGTAGACTTTTGGGGGGAATGGATAATTCCGACGCTGTGATGCTTTATGATTTCATATACTTCGTTCCGGAGCGGAGAGTCCTTGACGGGCTGCTGCGGAGAGGGTTTTTTTAGCTTTTCATGTCTCATCGAGATCCATTTTCCGGACGCGTTTCGAGCAAGAATTGATGCCTGCCTTCGGAATCACCGGTCGTCTATCTTGTCTATCGGTGTCTGCGAGGTAGTAAGTTGCTGACTTGGTCGGAGGAGAGGGTCTGATCGTCAACCGGATCCCCTACCACCACTACTGCGTAGGTTAGTAGTTAACTCAACGTCTCGAGTCCCATTACCCCAATATAGTCCGCGACAGAGAAAGGTCAAAGTACGGTCGGAGGCTTTCCTTATCCTAACTTCAGCCCCGGCAAGTTTTGGGTCATCTAGCGATGATGAGACTTCTACTGGCACAACTAGCGTAACGATCGTTTTCAAACTTAAGGGGTGGTGGATGTGTGATTGAGTTAGTACAGTTGGTTAGTACAATACAGTAGGCAGTCAACGATGTGCAGTCGAACACCACCAGGCCGGTTGGACTTCCTTCCCTGTCCATAGTCGGTTGGAACTAGGGCTCTAGTCTCACTGTTCAGGGGGGGAAGAGAAGGAGGGGGGAAGTGACTGCGGCGACTGATGAGCTGGGGGTTCGACTACAGATCTAGTCTGATAGTTCAAGCATGGCGTTATGACAGTGCAAGTGCAATCAATGCAATCAATGTACAAAGTTCCAAGATTGGGGGGAAGAGTGGAAGATCGCATTTGAATCCATTCCACAATCCGACATCTCATTCGCCCGGCCATCTCACTACTGATTACTGGGGAGATGACCGTCAGAGTTGTTGCTCTTGTTGTCCGCCATCCAAGCAACCAACCAACCTCTCTCCCCCTCGTCGCCCCTTTGACAATCGATCAATCAATCAATCGATGGACGGGGAAGACGGAGAGCGAGGTAGAGGAGGTCTCTCCCACATTCAGCGCCCTTCAGCTTGGATGATTAGGCAATGTGACCGGCATACCCTGCTAGTACTAACATCATGCCTGACTGACCGACCGATACTTTGCTGCTGCCTCTCTCTGTCTGTTTTTCTACCTATCTATACTTGCAGCTCTGCAAGTCAGAACGAGACTGCCCTTCCGCTTTCCGTCTACTATCAACCTACCTACCTAACTAACGACCGACTTCGTACCGTATCTCTTTCCCCTTCCCCTGTTGGTGGGCCTAACAGCCAGGATCCTTTGCTCTCGCTTTCTCCCTTTTGCTTTTCCCGAAATTACTGACTGATCAGGGAGCGAGCAAGCGAGCGAGCGACGGACGGTCGAACCCATGAATGCATAGGCCCCGGGTATTATTATAACTATAACACTTTCACATTCTCTCGGTTGGGCAAGAGATAAAAATGCGATGGATCTCTTTGTTTGCGTCATCGACGCTCGGGACTTTGTCCACTTCAGCTGTGGCTACCTCTGTACCAGATTATATTGCATCCATCCACCTAAAACGAAGGTAACTATGCGATGCGCATTGAACCACCAGCAAAGCCGACCGACCGGGAGGTGAACGCGCAACTTCGGTTGCCTCGTATCTACTGGTTCGTACCTGCAAAGGAAAGAAGATGGCAAAGCATTAGAAACCAAAAACATAATAAAAAAAATAAAAAGGCACCTGCGGTGACTGATCCAAAACCATAGCATCATCTCATCATCATCTGGAGATCGGCTGATTGTGAGTCGAGGGATTGGCAATGATAATCAGATGATGGTTTGGCGAAAGATTGGATCGAAGTTCTTTTTCTTTTCCTTTTTCTTTTCTTTTCTTCTCTTTTCGTTTCATTTTTTTTAGGGAATTTTTTTGATGAAGAGACGGCGACCGTCGTGGGGATGATTAGACGCCACCTGAAGGTCCCCATTCATTATTATTCATTGATTCATTGATTCATTGATTCATTCCTGAGGCCGATATGGCCCACACCGATCGGACTAAGCAAGTGTAGCAATACCGGTAGTCATTACGGTAGGTTCCAGTTCCAGTTTCCTTTCAACTAATCTCAATTGGGGCAACAGCTGCCGGTCGGTCGTTGGACGCGTACGGTATTCTCAATCCAGGTAACAAAAATACCATCCATTCAAGTTCGATTCACAGAAGTCAGGACTCAGAACCTGAACCTTGGCACTTGCATTCGGGATAAATGTGTTTAATCCTTCTCATTGGTGCTACAGCCGGGAACTCGAGGTTCGTGGACTGAATGGGCACTGCCTTTGGCCAACTTCAAACAAATCAGGGTGTTATGTTGCTCAACCTTGAAGGCTGCCCCGGCTCCTGCTCCTGCGATCAACAGCCTGAGATACCTGATTATTACAGTACCTGACAGCGTAACACGCAGCAGCAGCAGCAGCAGGAGCAGCAGGTATCAACAGCAGCGGCGGCGGCGGTTGTTCCAGAACTTCCGACTGTTGAAGTGGAGCGAGCGTGTGTGCCACTTTCCCTCCGGCACATACGGAGGCAGCAGAAATAGCCACGACGCTATCCCCATCTGCCGGAGTAAACTATAACTGACTACGGAGTACCATGATACCATCACCCATCACCATCACCATCACCATCACCATCACCATCACCATCGCCATCATCATCATCATCACGTCTGACTATCTCTGTACCAGTCAATCCACTTCAAGCTGGATGGTGATGCCGATGACTCCGTTTTGGAGTGTCACCACGCCTTCGTCCATCTTCTTCTGCCTAGCATCCCAACACTGGGGCTGGGGCGCATCCTTGGGTCGTCGACTGGTTTGGTCACTCGGGCGCAGCAGCAGCGCGGGCACACTCACAGGCAACATTCGCTAATTGACACCGACTCACTCCGTATAGCAGCAGACCACTGGTCGAGGTGAGATGGTAGTGTACTGTATGCGACGATCGCAAGACGCTGTTTGGGTTCGACTCCCAACCTCCAAGGCGTCAAGACTCCAGATGATGCTCCTACCCACTTTAAGTTGAAGCATGCGGTTGGTGGTCAATCCGTCGACCTCTACTAACTTCCTGTCCGGTGATTAACTTACCTGCAGCGGTATCTGAACACTGGATGGATCGCTCGGTGTTGCTGACCAACGACTCTGCCACAAGCTTCTCGGCTTTGTGCTCTCTTCCCTCTTTCTCTCCTATTGACCTTTCACAGCTTTTTGATTGTTCTGTCTCTGTTGATGCTTCTTTCTTCCGAGCATCCCGACCTAACCTTCTGATTCGAACATGCTGCTCCGCCAGATCTCACGATCAAAATGCTGTGACCAACCTCATTGGATCCAGCTCCAACCATGGAAAATCAACCCAAACCTGGTCAATAAGAAGAGCAAGAATAGCCCGGACCAGCTTCGTTCCCCAGCTGTTTTCGTCTAGCAGAATAACTAGATATTGCGCCCCGGGGTTGGAATTGCGGTTTAATTTGGGGGGGCCAAGTACGTACTACACCTTGGCTTTTACCCATACTATCCGTGTTTTTCCGCGTAGGAACGTGAAGAGAACCACCAGCGCGGGCATCATCGATCCTTTTACTCGAATCTCATCTAGACCACCTTACGGAGTACTCTTAGCGGTTGCAGCCTGTAAGTTAGTTATGAGTAAGTTCACCTAGCTCCATGATTGGAGGCGGTGCTTGCCACACCAAAGCCATTCTCATCTCCGGTTGCGGCACCGTGGCCCGTCCGGAAAAGCTGGAGGAGTGTTGTTGTTCTGCTTCGTCACCGCCCAGTAATTTGGCTTTGCCTTTTTTTTTTGCTCATTGTTTGTTCATACTATGTAAATTATCCTCGCCGTCGGCTTAGGTTAGAGTTGATCAACGAATTTACATAGTACCTTCGTGAGTGGAGGATCGGAGAAGGTTTCAGTTGAACAAGTATTCGTTGCACCCAAGCTATGCTACCGGTTCTTGTGCTCGCGGCGGGCTCAGCTACCGGTATACTACACATAACTCGGTATTGTGTATCCATTGGCAAATGAGCAAAGGTTGAGCGTCACTACTTACCTCGCTCTAAGGCCTGATCTAATGACGAGTCTAACGAGTAGTTATTCCATATTTACCCTTGTACTGAGTGAGTAGTGGTGCTGCTTTTGAGCGACCAAGTTGCTATCACATGACCTCGGTCCAAGTTTCGAATCTCGAATCTACTACGGAGATTCTGGATCTTACCGACCGCAGGCACTTACATACTAATCCAACTTCCCTGTTCCTCCCATTTCGAAATCCTGGACCGCCTTGGAAGAGTCCCAGTTCCGGTGTAATAAGTATAAGTTACCTAGGTATACTAAGTATCAACCGGACTAAATAAAGGTGGACTGGCGAGTACCCTTCCGCATGGAGCAAAGCAATCTGGACAGCCTCGCCAGACGATGAGGAGGTCAGCTTTTCCAGCGGCTAGTTAGTTCGTTCGTTGGCAATGTTAGCCAGCAATCCTTGCCCAGTACAATCCAGTCCAGTCCCGTCCACGAAAAGTGCAGCCTAGCAAATACTGGACCTCAAGGTGGTGGTTTACTGGTTTACTGATTACTGGGCCATCCGCCAGCATATGCGATTGCTTCTGTGTCTCATGGGAAGTATCACTCGCCTTACACGACTACCCGCTATCTCATATTGTGGGAGCCCCCCTCCCCTTTCTTGCGGTGCCGAAGGATTGGGTGCGACAGAGGACATTCTTAGATTTCACACTTATTTACTGTATGTACACTGGACTAGCCCCCTCTCTTGCCAGTGCGTTCGCTGGTCTTTTCTTCGCTTTTTCTTTCGGGTGCCTAGCAAGATCGACGCGCAAAGCAGCGGTCAAACCCCCCCCCCTCCCCTCAACCTCAACCCTTAAAGACGATGATGCTGTGGGTTTACGGTGTCGTTCGCTTCCCCTCTTGCTCGTGCTCGTGCAACATGACTCTTGTCATTGTAAGAAACTTTGAACACATCGATGTATGAGTATGGGTATGAGTATGGATATGAGTATCTATCCATCGAGTCCGGTCGGCAAGGCAAGGCAAGGCAAGGCAGGGGGAAAGGGCACCCACCCTGCGCGACTTGGACCTTCGCTTGACTGACTGACTGACTGACTGACTGACTAACTCTTTCTTGCCCATCAAGATGGATTCGCATGAGAACCTTGTGAGAGAGAATTAGAGAGGAGAAGAGGTGTTGTGTTTGTCTCCCCTAGCGTCCTAGCGTTAGCATGAGGACGGAGGGCGCATAGCCCGTGGGGGTTTGGTGTTGTTGTTGTTGCTTCTTGGGGGGCGCCCCTAGTTTCTTTGTCGATTCGATTCGGGAGGCTCTTTCTATCTTCCACGTTTAACGTGATTGATGATCGCTTTGCATCGTTGGACTCGTGTGATGGGGAGTGATCTGTTGAAGGGAAGGCGAAGGGCGGAGGGGGAGTTGTAACTACCGTCCGCTACACCACACGCAAGGACAAGAAATAGATGAGGCCGAGGATCAACTTCTGTGTAGATGTGTATGTGCGAAAACCTCACTTGCTTGCTACTGCAGTATTTGCGGGCATCTTTACTCATTACTCATTACTGCGATTTGGTGGTCAGTGTCAGATTCCCTTGCATTCGGTGATCCGGGTCTGACATCCTTGCGGGTTGGAGACTGGATTGCTTGAAATGAAGATTGTAGATCTTTGGAAATCGGTCTGTCTTTTGAGGGGAGGGGAGGGGGAGAGGCGGACGTAAACAAAACATCTTTCCATTCGTGTGGCGGCGCGGGGAAGGATGACCTTCTCTTTACAACACCACACTAGAATTAACTGGTCGGTTTTCTTTTTGTCTCATTCTTATTCCTAGTCAGTGTCGGTGTAAAGAGTATACATATACTCATACCGTGTTGTCGATCAACATAACATTGCACATAACACCCAACTCAGCACAGCACAGCACAGAATTATACAGACACAACTCGTTGTGTGAGTGCGAGGCAGGCCAAGTTGTTTGTTGCGAAACCTGGGGTAGACCACAAGTGCACGGAGAACTCCATCAGGCTAAGCCGGATCTATCCATCCGTACTTACTATCCACCTCCCTTGTCCTCCCTACGCTCGAGGGGATAGGGATACAGAACAGCAGCTAACCCCCTCGTGGGACTACCCTCGAGGGAGGTCCCGGAGACGGTGTATGGGGCCATTCGAAGCAAGGGAACGTCGAAGATCATCGGTTCGAGATTTTAAAACATTTCAGTGGTAGTGGTGTTTGTTGATGGATGGGCTGGCATACAGCACAGCGGCTTCCATAACAACGGGCATTCAATGAGGCAGGGACAACAACATCAGGCTCGGATTTGTGGTCGGGGGTTGCGGTGATTGTGAGTCAAGGGGGGGATGGGAACAAGGGCATTGATTTTCTGGTGGTTTGGTTTGAAATTTGACACTGACTCATCCTGGTGGTTCTGGGGTTGCGGCCGACATCTCGCAAGGATGGTGAATGGGGGTAATGGGTAAGTAGATCAGCAAGAGCTTCAGATCTGGGTGTGATGTCTCAGGGGATAGGCAATCATCGATAGGGTGGTGGAAAAGGGCGAGTTCCGTTGCCGTCTGTCCCACATGTATATTTCTCTCCGTTCACTGGGCAAGATAACATAACATGCAATTCCAGAGTCGATTCGGCAAACATATCTACCCCCCAACTCTTAGACTAAATCTGCGGGACTAATGATTCAGGTAATTCCGAGCATTGTCAATTCACAAGTCGAATGAACAATGCATGAGCAAGACCTAAACATCTAGCAATCATCCAAGGATTGCATCCAACCGAGCGCAAGGCCCAGGCTTCGACGTCCGTCCAGTCGAGGCTGGCTAAGTTCTTTCTTCTTTCTTGTTCACTTTGACTCTTCTACATTTCCGATCTTTACTGTTTTCGGGTTTTCTGGATCTTCCTTCTTCTGGGGCTGACAATTCGACCACCGATAACTTATCCAGTTTCACCCAACTCACTGCACGGCAGATGGGGCAACAACAAACAGGGATTGAACGAATATGTTCAACCGACTGCTGGCACTGAGAATCCGATTTGTCCTTCCTCCTATCCCCATCGTAGGTCCAGATTCGTGGAAATCCTTGGATGATAAGCCGTTCGCTGGTGGGTGCGGTGCACCCTGCACAAGTACAGGTACAGGCACAGGTACAGGTACAAGGACAGGTACAACTGCCACTTTGACCCCCTCCTTTTCCTGTGGCATCCAGCAGACCGATGGATGTATCTACACGCAATGATCAATAGCACAGGAAACGGGGAGGCCACAAACACGCTCATCTCGCCCAGGCCCCATGATTGACTGGGTTGACTTTGACTTTACATGAAATAAGTCAGCCATTAAATAAACAACTTCAGACAGATCATGTCTCACCATCAGACCACGACCCGGAACCATGATATCCAAAATCGTCTCGTCGCAGCCTGATCCCTGAACCATACATACCCTTTGCTTTTGATTCTGGTTTTGCTTTTGCTTTCGCGGGCTTGCTTGCTTGCTTACCGCGCGTCAAGGTCGGGATGGATTGTCGTCATCCCCGTAACTGTGCGGACCCGACACCATCAGGCTGCCGCCCATCTTCTGGATGAAGAGAACAGAATCTGTCTCCGTATACTCCGTACTGTACTCCTCTCAAAAGTTGACTGGAAACTGGATCTGATTCGAACAAGGGAAGCAATCCAATCCAATCCGACCGACCGTTCCTCAAAGCCCGAGGGCTGACGATCTACATCTTTACCTCGAAGTGGAAGTCGTATATGCGGCCGCGGCTGAAGTACTATACATAACGATGCATCCGCGGAGCTTGAGGCTTGCTGCTGCTGCTACCTCTCATTCAATGGATCAGTCATTAGTACAATACGGAAGCAGGCAAGTACCGTAGCCACCCTCTCGCCTTACAGGGAAGACTGCTGGTTGTTGTTGTTGCTGTTGCTCACGCCCTGCACATGCAACCATTGAAAAAAGAGAAGTCACAAACGAGGAAAAAGCAAAGAACAAGAGAGTCGGCCGGAAGAGGTGAGCGCTGGCTGACCACTTTAGGTACTGTACGGAGTACTGTTCAGTCCAGTCCACGTAAGGTCGACCTGGCCTGCATTGAGAAGCGATCCAGAACTTGCAACTCGCTCAGCTGCAGTTATCTGCTGGACTCCAGACTACTCCTGCTACAGTACCGGCGAGTTGGTTGTGACTGTCACTAGAGCCATGGGCTGGTCATTTATAGGACTATATACAGCTGCTAGTTGGTCAAGGTGATGAGCGGAGCGAGCAGCTTTTTGTGCTCTCCAACCAGAAGCTCGTTAGTCAAGAATTTCAGACCTTGAGGTAGGAGATGCCGGATGGAAAGATCATCATACGGAGTACGGAGTGGGCTTCCTTGTATGCTGTGCTCGTACAGTACATCGATTGATGGCACTTCTCTGCATCAAACGCGATGCTTCTCGAGGTCATATCGCGGACCGCATGGCTTCGGTGTAGTAGTTAGTAATAGCTTGTCCGTCCTCCGGGCCGGCGTTACTTCAGTTTACCCTTATGCCCTTTACTTGGTGAGTCAGTTCTCCTGAATGAGTAGTGCGGAAGAAAATAGCACCGACATACAGTTGGTGTATATATACCTGACGCAGCCCTTACGTGGTGGTGAAGCTGAGCTGGTGAGTAAGAGGAACACTTCTGAAGGGAGTGGGAGATGAATGATGGGCGTTCTTTATGTATAAGATTAAGGTCAACGCAGCTTGACTCATTACTCTCTCAATAGACGAAGCATATCAGACCTATTGGTGGTGCACTATATCTATATCTGCCTTATTGAACTCGTACACTGCCAAACAATCGACATGGATACCGAAATGCGAGGAGGCGTGTCCAGGTAAGCCTAGAACCCAGAATAACGGGGCCCAGAGATGAGCGCAAAGCTTAAAGGCCATAAGTAAAAGGAAACCTGAACTGCTTGGTAGTTCCGAGAGAACACAGGTCACTTGTCTAGCTTAGTCTACAGAAGAAGTTTACTATGTCTCGGCGTACTGGCTTTTGGTTGTAGTTGAGACGGCAAGTCGAATGATGACCTATGGGGATCGGAGTGGAATGGTGATGACCGACCGGCGTAAGAATTGATCTATAGTGAGTTGGAATGAGGATACTGAGTACACAGTGCACTTGCCTGGTAATTTGAGCGCCATAATATCGAAACTTCACGACCTACAAATTCCACAGTGGGATAGAAATGTACTCCAGCAAAGAACCAATCACCGCACGAGAACAGCCATCCCGGGCCGAGATTTCTCCGACACCTTGGGTGTTCTGCCTCAGGCCGCCAAAAACTTCCCGTCCCAACGGAAAGATCCTGTCTCTCCGTGGACTTCGACTTCCGCGGCGACAAACCTCCAAACTCAACCACTTCACCTCACCCTCCACACTCTCTCAACACCACAATTGAAGTCGGCCCCGCCATGCCTCCCCGGCTCCAGCTCCTCCCCTTCCGGGCGCTCACGTCCGCGACGCCCATCACCACGGCCGCCGCCGCCAGCACCACCGCCAACCCTCTGACCTTCCTGCTGGCCGGCTTCCAACAATCCCGCAACGCACACATCCTGGCCTCGCTCTCCGACAACGCGGGGGCCTACAACAAACGCATCCGTCGCGGTCGCGGTCCGGCTTCCGGCAAGGGTAAGACCTCCGGTCGCGGTCACAAGGGTCAGAAGCAGCACGGCAAGGTGCCCGCGGGGTTTAATGGTGGACAGACGCCGGACATTGTTGTGCACGGGGAGCGGGGATACAACAATATGTATGTTGCACCCTTACCTTTGAACTGGGGAACGAGGTGGGAGGTTGTGGGATTGGATTCCTGCGTCGTTGGGATTCTGTTTTGGAATTGGGGTGTACTTGTTTGAGGATTCGTCGATAGTGAGGTCGAATTGCCGAAGCGCTTTCAGATTGCAAAGAATGATCGTGGAAGAGCTTCCCATTCGCGATAAATCCTCACGCAACCGACTCCCAAGCTGTCCCTGAATCTCCCAATGTCCCCAACCACCCCTCCAAACCTCATTCTCCATGATAAACACCACTAACCTCTCCCAGCCACGCCATCGAGCTAGCCCCCATCAACCTCAACCGCATCCAAGACTGGATCGACCAAGGCCGCATCGACCCGGCCCGCCCGATCACCATCCGCGAGCTTTTCGATTCGCGCTGCATCCACCAGACCAAGGAGGGCGTGAAGCTCCTGGGCCGCGGCGTCCTGAAGGACGAGAAGGGCGCCGTCATCGCCCCTAGCAGCAGTAGCAGCACCACTGCCTCCCCCGAATCGGCCTCCACCACCCCCTCCTCCTCCCGGTGCTTCTTTCGGTGCCCCTCCACCCCCTCCACCGCCTGGTGCTGGTGGATTCGGAGGTTGGCGCGCAAACTACATGGCTTCCCAAGCTCTTCCTCATCACCAGACAGCTCTCATGCCATCTATCCGGCCTAAGAAGAAACTCAAGGCACTTCATTGGGATAAGGTCGATACTCCGCAGGTGACCGTGTGGGCATCTCATGCTCCTACTGCTCAAGCAAAGGAGGAGAAGTATGTGGAGCTGGCGAAGAAGGGGGTCTTAGATGAAGTCGAGAGACTGTTCATGGCAAAAGAGACCAAGATCTTCGGCAAGGGCGCGGGAGGCAAACAGCGTACGGATAAGAAACAACTCATCTCCAACGAGCTGTCCAAGACTTTCCAGATTGCTATGGCCAAGTTCTCTCAGTTCCCTGCGGACGATGTTGTACGGATGATTATCCATTGCGACACGGAGATTCTCGACAACCTGGTCGTCATGGATTTCTTACAGAGGGATGAAATGTGCACCATACCCGAGAATATCTCAAAGTCTATGGCGCCATACAGTAGAGACTGGACCGGTCCAGATGCTGCCAGCGCCGAGCGGGAGCAGGATCCAACTGAGCTCACGCGCGAAGACCAGATCTACCTTTATACCGCGTTCGAGCTACACCATTATTGGAAGGCAAGAATGCGTGCTCTTGCGTTGACACGCTCGTATGAGCCAGACTATGAGCATATCTCCGCCAAACTGCAGCAAGTCGTGCAGGTCAGCGAGTCTCTGAGAGACTCCGTGGCCCTAATGAATGTTCTTGGCTTGATCTTGGACATTGGTAATTTCATGAACGATGCCAATAAGCAAGCTCAAGGTTTCAAACTGAGCTCCCTCGCACGCCTCGGTATGGTGAAGGATGATAAGAACGAGACTACATTTGCCGATCTGGTGGAGCGAATCGTTCGAAACCAGTATCCCGAGTGGGAGGGCTTTGTGGATGAGATCAACGGCGTTGTCGCCATTCAGAAGCTCAACGTCGACCAACTGCGCACGGATGCTAAGAAGTACATAGACAACATTAAGAACGTCCAAGCCAGCTTGGACGCTGGCAATCTCAGTGATCCGAAGAAATTCCATCCTCAGGATCGGGTCAGTCAAATCGTTCAAAGAAGCATGAAGGATGCTCGTCGCAAGGCCGAGCAGATGCAACTTTACCTGGACGAGATGGTCAAGAGCTATGATGATATCATGGTGTTCTACGGCGAGGATAACACGGATGAAGGCGCCAGGCGGGACTTCTTCGCCAAGTTGGCTACATTCTTGCTGGAGTGGAGGGTAAGTACATGCAATTACTTTGCGTCGAAGGCTTCTTTTTTTCTAACCGTGATATCAATGTCCAGAAATCCAAGGAGAAGAACATCAGCCTGGAAGAAAACCGGAAACGCATCGAAGCATCTCTGTCTCGCAAGCGGGTTAATGCAGGTCTGGCAAACGGCGCCGGTACAGCTACAGAAGGGCCACAGTCCCCCGCCACGAGCGGTGCTATGGATTCACTTTTGGAGAAGCTGCGTGCGGCGGCTCCTCAGGCCAGGGATCAGCGCGATCGTCGGCGTCGCGCCCGTTTGAAGGAGAGACATCAGGTCCGCGTGGCTTCGGGACAGAAAATGCCAGAACCCGCTGGGTCTGAAGGCGCAGAAGCCGGACAGATTGAAGAGACTGGCAGCAATGAAACGAGCAACGCGGGTGCAGTCGATGCCAACTCGGCCAACACGGGTCTTCTGAGTCCTCCGGCTTTGGAGTCCGAAGCTCCTGAGACATCGAGCCAAGATGCTCAGCATGTGTCAGAAAGCGAAGACGTTGCGGACCGGGCTGCAAGCATGCTGCAGGGTCTACGGGACAATGTTGATGGTGAGCGTCAAAGAAGAAGACGTGAGACAGCCGAGGAAGAGCGGCGTAAACGCAGGCTGCGGAGACGCAACGGTGCCTCTGGTACCAGCAAAGACAGCGCCGATGGCTCGGTGGTAGCCTCTGCGTCCGAACCACTTTCCCCTCCCAAGACAGATCCGATTGAACCGGATGATGTGAGTATCGCCAGTCCTCGAGACGGAGATGACACAGCTCCTCGAACACCCTTGACGCCATCTATTGTGGTATCGCCAACCGCCGACCAAAAGCTACAGTTACCTGGCGATGACGAGCCCAGTGAAGGTTCTCCCTAAACAAAATCCGTGGAGTAAATTGACCACTGCCTCATATTTCTCCACTCCATGTCCCTCTTTCCCCTCATCTCATTTCCAACTTCGCAACGCACATTTCGCCCTTCCGTGCATTTGTTGCATGAACTAATCGCATTCCTTCTTTCCTAATCTAATGTTTGATAGACCAACCCATGCCGTCTCGGAAGATGTCACTATGTGTATGATGTTCCCCTGGCTGCGTGTTTCAGACACGTCTGTCTTCGTTTCTTCTGATCTTCGAGGGCTGTCAAGCGGCGATGTCAAGTGGGATTGGAGGTTTGATATCCTTTCCTGCGTGGCTACTGCTTTGATTCGTTCCTCCTTGCACCAAGCTGTTGCATTCGTTTCCCGAGTACATTTTCACTTTCCTATTTTCGTTTCTCCTTGACCCTGCATACATCATGCTTTCCATCTCCTTGATCTCCCAGCGATTCATAGCCTCTGACATTTCCCCCTTTCTTTTTTTTTTATCAACTTCGGTCTTCATTTTCTGTCTGTGTACATACTCGGCTTTTCATTGGTTTCTTCTTGTTTATTATATCTGGATGTCGTTCCGGCGACAGTTGCATATCTCTGGCGGAGGAGGATTGTGAGGCGTATGGCCGTGTGTCTTTCGGTGCGCAGGCGTGACGAAGGGGCGCAGGGTCCCTGTGATATGACCTTTTCCAACTACATCTACTGGTTTACCAAGCTTAGTGCGTACGCAGAGTGGCTCTCAGAATATGGGACCCGTAACATCTAATGCGAATACAGAGTACTGTACTTATCATGCTTGTATGAGTGTCTGAGTGTCTGAGTGTAATGATATCGACGAGGGTGGGACCGACTGCACGTGATCCCTACCTCCGCGGCATTTTGCGCCAACATTCGAGCCATCCTTTACCCCAACTATCCAGCTTTATGAGGCAATTATTGGTTCTCAGCGACTGATACCATTTTGCGCATGCGAGGCTTCAATCTTCGAACCCTGCGGTGGGCTGCTGCCGCCCGCCCATCGTTGCCGGCCCCGAATCGAGCTGTTTTGTCGAGACGCTCTCCGGCACCACTACTACTATTAAATCCATCACTACGCCGCTGCTTCTCAGCCTCTCGCCCGGATTTCTCACTCTTTGATGCCGACTCCACAATTTATGCCCTCTCCACCGCTCCCGGGCGAGCCGCTATCGCCGTCGTGCGAGTATCTGGTCCAGCATGCGTGCAGGTATACATCTTGACCCGCATTCATTTCGCTTTCAGTTTCAGCGCTCATCGAGACCTGTCCTGTCAACCACTAACTAACCTTACAACTTGTAGATTTACAATGCTCTCTCCCCCTTTGCGCCCCTTCCCCGTGCCCGTCACGCCGCCGTCCGCACGCTCTACGACCCCCTCCACCCTCCATCCTCGAACACCATCCTCGACGCCGCAGCGTTGGTGCTATACTTCCCTGGCCCCCGAACCGTGACAGGGGAAGACGTGCTCGAGCTTCACTTGCACGGGGGTCCGGCGATCGTTAAATCCGTATTGACCGCGATCGCGAACATCAACCGGCCATCCTCGTCACCGTCCTCCTCAATGTCTACAACAACCACAACAACATATTCGAAGGATCCCCAAGTCCCCCTGGGACCCCCCTCCAGAAGAGGAGGCGGGGGAGGAACGATCCGCTACGCCGAGGCAGGCGAATTCACGCGCCGGGCCTTCCTCAACAACCGGCTGGACCTCCCCCAGATCGAAGCGCTGGGGGAGATCCTGCACGCGGAGACGGAACAGCAGCGACGGATCGCCGTGCGTGCGGCGAGCAGCAGCGGCAGTGGTGAGCAAGGCGGCGCGCTGTCGCAACGCTACGAGCAGTGGCGGCATCAGCTGCTGTACGCGCGCGGCGAGCTGGAGGCGCTGATCGACTTCGCCGAGGACCAGCATTTCGACGAATCGCCGCGCGAGCTGGTTGGGTCCGTGGGCCGGCAGGTGCGCGCCCTCCAGGCGCAGATCCAGCTGCATATCGGCAATGCCGCCAAGGGCGAGTTGCTGCGGAGCGGGATCCGCGTGGCGTTGCTGGGGGCCCCCAATGCGGGCAAGAGCTCGTTGCTGAACCGGGTGGTGGGCCGCGAGGCGGCCATCGTCAGCACCGAGGAAGGGACTACGAGGGATATCGTCGATGTTGGGGTGGATGTTGGGGGTTGGTTCGTGCGGCTGGGTGATATGGCGGGGATCCGGTCGGAGGATGTTTTGGGGGACGACGATGATGATGGGAGGAGCTCCGCCGCGGCTCGGAATGTGGTGGTCGGGGCGGTTGAGAAAGAGGGCATCCGGAGGGCTAAGGCTAGGGCGCTGGAGTCGGATGTTGTCGTTGTGGTCGTCTCGTTGGAGAAGGAGGAGGAGGCGGAGGGGAGTGCGAGTGCTTCTTCGCGGTTGGCGGTTGAACGAGAAGTCGTTGATGCGGCTAATGAGTGCGCGCGCGCCGGCCGCTGCGTCGTCGTTGCAATTAACAAGTGTGACCGGTTGCCCGGCCTGGATCGCCTCCCGGATCAGCTGCTTGCCACCGTCCGCACTCTGTTCCCTGCTGTGCCCGACCGGCGCGTGTTCGGGATCTCCTGCCTGGATGCCCGCCGGGAGACGGGCTCCGTCTCTGGCCCGGTGGCGCAGCACGATCCGGGCCATATCCAGCGCTTTCTACAGGGGTTGATCGCTACGTTTGAGGAACTGGCTTCCCCGACGGGGATCGAGGAGGATGCCAACGGCCAGTACGACCGGTCCTACTGGGAGGATTCTCTGGGCGTCACCCACCGACAGAGCTCGAACCTACAACGCTGCCTGGAGGATCTAGACGCGTTCATGAACCAGACTCAACCATCAAACCATCACCATCTTACACACGAGTCCGAGGAAGAAGTCGACATCGTCACCGCGGCCGAGCACCTCCGTTCCGCGGCCGATGCCCTGGCCAAGATCACGGGTAAAGATGAGAGTGGCGACGTGGAGGATGTCCTGGGGGTGGTGTTCGAAAAGTACGTTGTCTCCCACCGTTCTTTCTTTTCAGGCCTATCCATTTTTCTTCGTTCTAATCTGTTCAACAAACAAACAAACAACACATTTCTGCGCTTCCAAACAAATGACATGGCTAATCACTGGGGAGGGGGTGACGTGTGGTAACAGATTCTGCGTTGGGAAATAAACACGACTGCTGCTAGCCCTGAGAAATTCTTTTTTTTTCTTATCTTTTGGCACTGCAAACCGCAGCCTATACTTCTCCCTTCCATTTGGTGATGCTGTTCCGCAGCCGGGGACCTCGCGAGCATTCTACTGGTTGGTCCCTGCTTTATCATTCACATCGTTATACCCGCCCCGGCCTTGCATGTCCATCGGTTCGGCTGCGGTCGAGGTCGAGGTGGAGGTTGATGACGTGGGGGCGTTATATCCGCCTCGACCCATGGAGTCCATGGTCAAAGGGGGCTTTCTGGATGGTCCCATTTTCTGAGGTATAACAGCGATGGGAGGTACAGTTGAGATGGATGGGCGGGAATGCTGACAATGTGACAGTACACATGAAAGGTCAGTTGAGGGGGATGAGCCGCGATGAGGAACGTGTCTTGATGTGTGAATGGGAGGCGCAATTCACAAGTTGGCAAGGGGGAAAAGTATGTTGGACACCGACCGACCTGGCTCTAGGAAACGTCTCGAAGATAGGCTGGAACAGAAAAGTGATGAAATCAGCTTGGACCGGATCCAAGCCAGCGACAACACGGGATGTATTTGATAGACGTATGATGAGAGAGGAAAATAGGCATCATGGTCTCTCGATCCCATCCATGCTTTTATAGAGACTTCATTCATTTGACTTTGAGATCTTCAAAATACAAAGAGAGCTACGAACGCCCAACTGGCCGTGGACAGATAGGGCTTAGGAGCCAGATCATTGGAACAACAAGTTAGGTATGAACGGTGTTCCCTAATAATACTTAATTGTCTCTCCACCTCCAAGGCCATTGGCCTTACCAGGCGTTCGTTTGCCACGGACCATTTTCCCGGGAACGATCTCCGTGTTGTTCTTCGCTCTGTCACTGCATGAGTGGCTTTGTTTGGGAACATTTAAGACAAGCTCCAAGCCATAGTCACGATGATGTTATTGATGCGGTGTAGGCAGGATTGTGCTGCAAAGCGCTGGGTCGGGGACCCAATTCGATGTGTAAATAAGCCGTGGCCAATATTTGTATACCAGGGACCCAGTAGAAGCGAGACTTGCATGAGGTGGATGTCTTAAATAAATAAATAAATGGCACAACAGAACTAAAACAAAGCCTGGGCCTGACCACAGGCCTTTCTGCGTTGTGGTCTCGTTCGAACACATGGTTCCTCATCCTTGAGCAAGATGAATCGCAAAAGAGAGACAAGAAGGAGAGGTAGAGAGACCTCTCACACGGCAAGCTCAAATGCTTCACCCTCCAACGCCGTGTATACTGATGAGAGAGACGATTCTGAGTCCCAGTGTTCGTCCTCCTCGGATTCCCTCTGATACACTGGGCTTGACATCCAGATGGGAGACAAGGAGTATCTGGCACAACGCGAGTCGATGACTGAGCTTGGCGATTCCGGCAAGAAACTCGGTCCTTTCGTTCGAGCGAATGTTGTCTCCAAGGGAAGACTGATCCCTCGGGGTTTCCTAGATGAGTCAAGGTGGGGTCGCGCGCTAGACCTAAGCATTGGATGTTCGTTCGCGGGAACAAACGCCTGTTCTTCTACGAGGAAGGCCCCTGGCATGCCACTGAGTCCCAAGGGTCCATGGTTAGGGCTGGCTTCTCGACGCATATGCTCCGGGGTGTGGGATCGGCTTGTGGGTAGCCCTTGTTCTAAAGTCCCGGGTAGTTCCTGGGGGATTATGGTTGTTCTTGGGGCGGTATGGGTCTCCATTGGAGAATCGGACCAGAAGGCTGGCGCTGGTCGATGCAAAGCTTGATCGTGTTTTTCCGCTGGAAAAGAAAAAGTCCAAGAAGGTACGACGTCAA